CATTCTTGCGCAGAAGTCCAAGTCGACTCAAAAGCATTCCAATTGGACTGTCTGGCTTGATGTAATGTTATCAGGTTGTTTATCGTAGCGCTTTGGCGCACCCAACGTGGAATGTTGGCGCCGGAATGTGCAGCTGAACTCCTGCGCTATGAACCTGAACCAATGGTGCACGTTCCCAGCCATGGACATTTTGACAGAACACCCTTGTACGTTCTGCCATTCTAACCACATCATTATAATTTGTTGCTGTGGCCGTCCTTCGAACATAACAGTCCTTCCCCCCTTAGGACGCGCGATTTGCAATAGCAGCCAGTGTGCAATTAGATACGTAGACCTCTGTGATGCGAGTTCTTCCTCAGTCGAGATCCGCTTCAACGAGCGTTTGTCGCTTCAGTCTGCTTCGGAACGAACACAGCCGGGCGGAATTTGACGCTAGAGGAAATAAGCCATAGAGCAAGAGAAAAATATCTCGCGGAAATAGAAAATAACCCTGGTCATTCCCCTGATTTACGCCTAAAAAGAAAGCCGATATTACAGCACCTGTGTAAACGTAAGGAGTAGGTTTGTAGCTGGCAAGGGATGGGGATGGGACCCTGGCTGACAGCTTTCGGATCTGAACACAGCTGCAGGATGGGGATGGCCCTGGTCGAAGGGATTGGGAAGGGACCCTGGCTGGCAGGATGAGGATTGGGGGAACACAGCTGCAGGATGGGATTGGAAACCCTGGCCATAGGATTGGGGATGGGACCCAGGCTGGCAGGATGGGAAACCTGTCTCAAAGGATGGGATTAGCACCGGGCCCCTAAGATGGGAGATGGGAGTCGGTCACCCCAGCCAGGATGGGGGGATGGCTGACCACTACCACCCCCCGGGATTGGGGGATTAGACCGTTTTTGCAACCCTCTGGCCTAACTGGCTGCGGATAACGAACCGGCTTGGTGTGCCTCAAGTACCTAGCTTGCCATGTATGTAGAGACGGAGATACATTTCATTTCGGCACATGAATTCATGCTGCGGGTGTGTGGCGGCTTGCTTGAGAAGCAAGAACTTAGGCCTTGCTGTATGTGTATGTGTCCTCCCGATGCAACCAATCTATGCAGGACTCTATAACTGTGCCTGCAAGCTAACGAATATGAATTAAATGTCGCGCCATCGATGATAATACTGCAGTGAGAGGCACACGTTCAATCGTGCTACCCAACACATGCATAACATGCATTTTGGGGTTGGCTAGCAGCCGTTGCTAGATAATCTGGCTAGACGAAAAGCAAGCGCAAGCATGCGGCACCTGTATGAGGATAAACCCAGAAATGCTAAACACCATCACTTATCTGTAAAATGTATGGTTCATTCACACATTATCACTGCACCTAGCAGAAATATACTCGGGAGGCAGTCGGTGTGTTCGTTGGGTGAGTTAATTACCAGGCTGGTGGCCCATGAAATCCATGTCATTGTGGAAGTGTTGGTACACCGAGCTCGACAAAGGTACCGGCTTGGCATGCATGAGGTCGCACCTCGGGCATTTGCTTCTGGCCCAAAGGACCACCGAGGAGTTCCAGCTTGGCAATCTGTACCCGGAAGGTTGCAGGAACTCGGCTGATGGCCGAGTAAAGGAAAGGAGGCCCCGGAAAGGAGTACGGATATGAGGGGGATCACGAAGATCGTCCACCTGAAGTTCCCCACAGTCGTGGCCATGCATGCAGGTGCTCCAAAGTAGACAGAACACACTTAAGTCATGCAGCAGGGTCACGTGGGGAATGGGAGTTGGGGTGTTGGCTGCAGTCCGCTGCAGATAGCCACTCAGCACCAGGAGGTGAAGCACCCCGCTCGGCATGGCCCTGCCGGGTGAGAATCTGATGATAACCCTTGCTGTAACCGTGGACCGGTAAACCCTCGCAAGGACTGCTGCAACATGCAACTGCATTGTAAGGACCCCGTCGATTCAGCAGGTTGAAGGCGGTGCAGAGGTTGGAGGTGGCCCCATGGAGAGTAGTGGGGCATGGCAGACGATTCGAACGGACCCTTTCTGGGTGAAAACCTATCCAGCACTCCTCAAAGAAGGTCTCCGGTTCATCGAAGGGTGGTGCTGCACCAGCCAGGTATGCAACTCGCAGGATTGGCTCAGAATCTATTGCCAGCCGTCAGGAGCCCATTGCCGGCATTTGGTATAATATGCTGATGATATGATAAGCGCGGTGCTGGGCATTGGGGGAACTCCAGGCCGACCCTCGAGGGAGTGAAGAAAGGCGGCCACTATGGAGTCGGACGCAGCTGGTCTGTTGGTGTGAATGGATAAGATGGTGTGCATCCGGGCCCCCCGACTGAGAGAGACGCTACGCCAGCAACCTGTGGAGACAGTATAAGTCTCACCGGCTGGATGGAAGCATGGCACCCACTAACAATCCGGACGCACCTCGGAAGCTCCAGCGGGACCTGGCCTAGCTGGAGAAGACCAGACAAGACGCACTAAAGGGCCATCACCGAACCCCGTGGATGGCTGGGAATTCGGCCACATGACGGCCAAATCGATTTGATTTCTTAATAGCCCACCCGCCTACCCTGTGCTCTTTCAGCCAAGGATAATTCGATCGGTTTGCGAATTTTGGAACCGTTAAACTACCGATACCTTACACCGTACTCGGCTCTTTGTCGACAGCTTGTGCCTACCATGGCCTGCCCTTGGCCAGTGGCTGGTCTCTATTTTTCCAGGCATTGTATAGGCGACATATTCTGGAATTCAGGTTAAGTTATATAGGCCATCTGGCCGTCTACCTTTTATCCGAAACTTGAAGGCCCAGGCCTGAAGAGGCGCATGTGTACATGGTAGCCTAATACATGACCATGTATAGGTCTAGTATAATGAGAACATGTTGACGGTGAGGTCCATATCCCGGACCTTTCCATAGCACTGGCCCTAGAATCCGTACCTCCAATTCCGTACTTTTGAACTTTTGCGCGGGCAAGACAGCCGGCCGGACACGCCACGCCTCAGCCCGCCGAGCGAGCCAAATAATAATCTGCGTTTCTTGCCATGCTTCCAAACTTCTCTATAGGCTCTGAGTTCCAAAATCGTATGCCCACACCCTTCACACGCCTGTGGCCTTATACACGCATACCCGCCCCTTGCCATGCTTTATTTTCATAACACGGAAAAACACAGCTTAATCGCCGTTAACGGTTTCAAGGCGCTCAATATCTGATTGACCAAAAGAGTCATCTACGATACCTCTCAGATCACTGAGAGGTATCACTGCAACCGTGGCTGTGAACATTTCACCGCCGTGCTTACGGCGAAAAAACAATTTCGCTGCTTGCATTTGCAATAGCCAATTTCTGTTGAACCAACTTATGCTGCTCCTATCGCTCCTCCTGCATGCGACACACCTTGTATGATGATTCGCTTCGACGGAACCGCTGTCTGGCATTATTTTACCGTCATGCTAAAGTTGCTGACTCTTATTGCTACTTACGGGTTGCGGCGTTGCTGACTTGCCTGGCGCGTTGCGAAACTAATAGTTTAAGGACAGAAGTAATAAAAAAACATCCTAGACCCTCCAAAATTCCCCTAAAATCCAGTGTGATAGCGAGAGGACCCTCAAGTGGCTTTGCCACCCCAAAAGCGCATCACGACTGCCTGCGAAGCCAGCAGGTAGACGTCGTCCGATTCACGCAGCCACGTGTCGTTTTTGTTCGGCTTGGTATACACGTACGGCAACCACGACGCCGCCTGCGGGGTTCCCCTACTCGCTTGCTCGTCCAGCCGACTGGCGCCACCTGCAGGGCCGCCGCTGCCGCCGCCGCAATCGCGCCTGTACAACGCCAGCGGCATCACGTCATAGTCTTCCACAAGCACCTCAAACAGCGCACCGAAGTTGATGCTGCTGGAGTCCTGTTCTCCTTGCAGCTGCTGCTGCTGCTCCTGTGGCGGGGGCAGCGGCGCCGACTGGCTTGAGGTCGAGGAGCAGTAATGTTGACTTGGGTTTTGGCTCTGATGCTGACCCAGATCCCGACGTTGCCGCTGATGATGATAGAGGTTCTGCTTCGCACGGAGCAGGTACGGCAAACCCGGAATCCGCTGGAGCATTTCACCGTAGTTGAGACAGAAGACGCCGTACAGTGGCCGCTGCGTCAGAAGACAGGTCGGCCGATCCACAGAAGCAGCCGCCGCCGCCGCCGCCGCCGTGGCTGCCTAAATTTTCGGGGCCCAGCGGTAGCGTATGCAAGTCTGCCGCCGTTGTAGCTGTAGGTGTAGCTGCAGCTGCGGCGGAGAAATAGCTCGGCAAAATGGATCCCGAATCCCCAACAGGCGGACCTATGCTTCCACCGCCTCCTGTGCTCCGATAACCCGGGGGCCTCTGCCGCATGTCCATATCCGAGAGATGATCCTTGGACCAGACTCTTCCAATCGGTACTGAGGTCGTCGCCACTGCTGCTGCTGCTGCAAACCGCGTCGGTAGAGGCGCCAGGCGGGACGGAAGGGTGACAGGCGACCTAACCGACCCACGGGTCATCATCACCTGCTGCTGCTGCTGCTCCGCTTCGAACGGCGACTCGCATGCCGCCGCTTGGGGCGGCGGAGACGGCGGCGGGGTCACCAAGCTCGCGCCCTCCGAAGCCTCCCCCACCGCCCCGCCGCCGGACTTCTTCGGCTCCCGGCGGCCCAGGCCACCATCCCCTAGGCCTCGTCCTGGCCCGAATGGCGATTCCTCCCAACCCTCATGTTGCATAACTTCCGCGGCGGCGGACTCGGAAGGTGGCAGCAAGTCCGGCTCCGTGCACGCACCATCACCGCCGCCTCCGCCGCCACCGCCGACGCTGCAACGGTCAGCATAGTGCACCGATCGTGCCTTTAATGCTAGCGCCCCGGCAGCATCCATGCGCTGCGGCCGCGGTGGAGGCGGTGAAGGCTGTGATGAAGATACAGGCTTGCCAGCTGTTGCCAGTCTCGCCGGCGAAGGGGAAGGCTGCAACGGCGTGGATGTGTCGCTGTTGAAGATACTCTGAAAGGGAGGTAGATTTTGAATGGCTGGTTGAGACGAAACTGCGACCGCAACTGTAGCCGCAAACTGCTGCCGTTGCTTCTCCTGCGGCTTGTGGCCATGCTGCTCCTCATGCTTTTGATTTGTGTAATAAGGCGGCCTTTCCTGATCAAGCTCTTGTCCCCGACCTTGCTGGTGGTGCTGTCGTGGGTGTTGCCCTTGCAGATGCCGGTGTTGGTGGTGTCGGTGATTGTGATGGTGGTGGTGGTGATGGTTCCGATGGCGGGGCCGCACCTGCTGCAGCTTCTGCTGATGATAGTGGTGGCGCTGATGCTGCTGGGGCTGTTGCTGCTGGGGCTGATGCTGGGGTTGACATCGCACCCAAGCGTCCCATGAAATGACATCCCAGCAGTTGAGCATCTTGAGGAGGATTTGAAGGAGCATGGGATTGAAGATGCTCTACGGGAACGTAGTGGGGTCGGGGGGACGTGTGCGGGGGGAGGTGCGGGGGACGTAGGAAAAGGGTTAGGAAGGCGGCGGCGGTGTGACTGTGGGACGTGAAAGCTGCCGAAGCTACGTGTAATCGAAAGCGAGCTTCTGGGGAATAGCAACAAGTGCGAGTCATATGACTTGACGTAACTGGCTAACTGGCGGCGCGGGATGAAGGTGGTGTTGTCAATACACGCTTTGAGTTTCGGCTGGCAGCCGTACTCTTCCGCTACCACCCAACTTTGCTGGTTTTAAAGACAATCTCCATTTCACTTCTTTTCCTAGGCTTCAAAGACAGCATAAGCGACGCCGCTTGCTCTCTGATGGTTCCAATACTTATGAGCTGCATGATGACCTCGATCCTGGAAGAGCTGCAAATCCATTTTCCTCCCAACCACGCAACCACCCAGGCACTGCACCTGGCAGGCCAGCGCATCCATCATGGTTTGCATGAGGATGTGCCCCGGCGCCAGGGAGGGAGCCAGGTGGGGCATCTCCGTCAGCATCTCCTGTACGAACTCCTCCTGGTGCGCTTGGTCCAGGGCAGTGGCTCGGCCGCTCCAGCAATGGAACACGACGGCCGACCAGACAAACTTCCCAAGCCTTAAGGACCAGAAAACAACGAGGGAAAGATTAACAACGCTGTTAAGCAGTTGTATAGAATATAGCTGTTACCAAACGACAAGCGAGGAACATTTCGGTCGTTCCCAAAACCCCTAAAACCCGAAGCAATACCCACTTCTGTCAACCCCCTCCCCTAGGATTTATACCTAATCAAGCTCAACCGCAGCACGCGCTGGAAGTCAGGCCTCGGGTCCGTCAGGAACTTGACGCGCTGGGTACTGCTACTGCCGCTGGTAGCAGTAGCGGTCGCAGCAGCAGCAGCGGCGATGGCGGGTGTGTTGGTGACAGTCGCATGAGGCCAAGGTTTAGGGTCACCCAGATCTCCAGGAGGCCGCGGCGAGGCCGCCGCAACTCCCAGCCCAGCCGCCTAAATATGGACGGGAATACATTCAGCTCTGGGTCTTGCGAACGAAGCGAGGGTCGCGGCAGAAAGACGGGAAAGAGAACCCCGGCAACACATGCAGTAAACAAATCGGCGAGTGCTGCGAAGGAAAAAAAATTCTTTTTAAAAAAATAAATTGTATAACAGAAGAAAAAATCCTCTTTAAACTAATGCCGTGTGTTTTGCGTGATGTCCACTTTGGTGCCTTGTGGTTTCGACACTATTTACAAAACCACAACATAATTACGAATATTAGCTGGAGGTAAATCACATCGAAAGTGACGCTAAAGGCACATGTGCGGCCGATGTTGCGGCCAGCACCGTCCCCGGCTATCCCCCCACATCTTCACCGCACCGGAAGAGGCTCCTTGTTGGTTACGTAGGGTCCCTCGGCCAGACACAGCGGCAGCGCATAGGAGCTGTTGATCAGTGCCAGAACTTCAGCCACAACTCGCAACTCGCAGTCCATCTGCAGGGGAGGTTGTATGTAAGTATGTCAGTATGTATGCAAGGAAGTATGTAAGTATTAAGTAAGATGTAAGTACGTAAGTACTAGGTACGTAAACACGTAAGTACAAAAATATGTAAGTAAGTAAATCAATACGTAAGTACGTGAGTCGTAAGTACGTAAGTACGTAAGTACGTAAGCACGTAAAACACGTACGTACTTACGTCTTATGTATTACGTAAATTACGTATTTAAGTACGTAATAAATAAATACGCACTAACGTATTTATGAGCTAATGTATTTAAGTAAGCACGTACGTGAATACGTAAGCACGTAAGTACTTAAAGTACGTAAGCATGTATGTATATATGTATGTGCGTGGCCGGAATTTAGGGGTTTGGGACGGGGTCCACGAAGTCAGGGGTGCGCACGGTGAACCGAAGAGCAACTTGGGGGAACGTTGTGGGGCTGGGATCTGGAGGGGTAAAGTGCGGGCCAGGGTAGGCCACCATAGGGTCGGGTGGGATACGACGAAATGGCCAGGTACCATAAAACACACATCCACACGCACACATACGGACGCACGCACCTCTTCGCAATACCTCCGAAGGGCCGCAGCCACCACCAGTATTTGCCCGTCCGCCATGGCTGGCTCCGACCCCACCACGGCCGCCTCGGTGAATAAGTCCTTGCTGGGTACTAGCAGCGCAGAGACCTGCGGGGTGTTGGGCGGGTGAGGGAGACAGGGTGAGGGGACAGGGTGAGAAGCAAACCCGAAGCAAACCCGGGGGACCCAGGGCCCAATCACACGGCTACAAAGCAGCCATTGGGTGTCCCCTCCGTAATGACTCCACGTGGCCGTTATGGCGCAACGGTCCCGCGGTAATGTTATCATTTTTGGCGATAACGGTCTCACGATAACGGTCGCATGCCTAATGTAACGGTCTCCAGGTAACGGTCTCATGTCTGACGTGACGGTCTAACGACCATTGCTATTACGACTAACACAGCAACCCACGCATCCTAAAAGTTCCAAGCTCCCCCTCCCCCTCCCAAACCTCCCTTCCAGTCACCCACACCCACCGAGGATCCCCGCTTCAACTTTAGCTTCCTCAGGTCCGTTACAGGATTCCAGGGGTCGGCTTTGAGGACAAAAATGCGGTGTGGCAGCGCGCCAGGGAGGGAGGCCAGGTCGGCCAGCTGGCCGTCACTCAGCGCACCCTGTGGCAGCAAGACTCGAAAAAGACATACAAGGAGTGGAAGGCAGGGAGGAAGGGAGAGAGGGAATCATATTTGCAAGAAGCATGGGGAGGAATGAAGAAGGGAAGGGGAGCGGATACCATGCATGCGAACATGTGCAAGACAAGAATATCAGTGTCCAATGTTGGGGGTTGCTGGCGGCGGCAGCGCAGGGCCCAAGCTGCCGGCATCAAGAGTGGGCAGTTGTGATGCGTTGCAAATCAGCTGCAGGAGGAGAAAGGAAGGAGGGGCTTTTAGGAAGAAGGGTGGGCTGTTGGTCAAAAGGGGGGGAAGAAATCTTGGGCGAGACCGTCGCGCACCTTGTCGTCTTTGCTATCATCGAATATGACGATCGGGCAGGTTTTGAAATCACGAGCGCTGCCTGCGGAAGGTGGCCGTAGCAGACGAGGCAGCGCAAGCCGGAAGTCAGCAGAATACGGGCTTATCCCGATCAGACAGGGTATTTCCACTTGGCCGAACACTAACAAAAAGTCTCGCACCTAGCACAGCGAATCACCCATACGTTATGATATCAGTATAATACACTAATAGAAAGAAAAGGTTCTCTAAAAATTTCGCGCAAAGCGGCCCCGTACGCGAAAAGCCAACGGGCCCAGTGGAAATTTAAACAAATTCACAAAAAGATAAAAAAATAAGACTTAGCACTCTCGACTTCCGAACTGCAAAAAAACGGTTACTCAACTTTTTGGTTGCAAAGTACTGGTACAATGTCCAAAACATTAACCGAAAACTTTTCAACCTTTTAACTCACCTATGGCCGGCGCAGATCGGATCGCCCCCACCAATTGAACCAACTGAACGAAGCAGCTGGAGCCCATGATGATTACAGGCGACTCCAGAGGCTCGTCCAAGGTGGTTGCGATCCTAACGGTCTCAACGATTTGCGGTCGTTGAACCGACGGCTTCCGCTGCCCAGATCGCTGCCCAGGCGACGAAAAGAACGCCGAAGAAGAGGAAGACAGCCGCGGCGGTGCTACATGGAAATCGGCATGCGACGGAAGATTGGGGAAGAGGCGCACATGACGCCATGACCGAGGTCGAGGTGTCAGGCGAGGAGAGAGGGGGCCGGGGTGTTATTTGGGTCGTTGCCGCCTTTCATTCCGCGATTCGGGGTACCGTATCACGCGTAAAAGACAATAGTTGCGGGGCCCCGTTGTGGCCCCCCATGTCGCGGATGGGACATGCAATAAGAGCAATGTGGGTGTTTAGCTGCTACAAAGAGCAAAGAAATGATTGCACCGATTGAATATACAGGTTTTATGGGTACTACGTTATTCAATAATTGGACTGAAAACCGCCTAAGTCCAGTTTTACGTAAAGGGCAGCATGTGCTTTTAGGTAATGCAAGCTTTGGGCGCGATCATAAGCGGGCATTCGAAGCAAGTGGCGGCAGAAGAATGCGACTGTGGAAAAAGCATCTGAATGCCGTTTTGGAGGCACCTCTAGAAACGCACCTTCTTCCCGCTGGTGCGGCGGCGGCGGCAGCGGCGGCGGCGGCGGAAGCTGCATCATCAGCGCCGGCTGCAGCTGCGGCGGCGGTGGTGGCGGCTCAGCAACGGCTTCGTCCCTGTGTCCCTGGCCCTCTTCACCCCCCCTGGAGCTCGGTGGTGCCGCCGGCCCCAAGCTCAAACTCGCGCCGGTACCAGAGTTCAAATCCAAATTTGAACTGGAGCCGGAATCCGAATTCGAAGGGGATCCCGATTGCGAGCCCGAGACCGACCTAGACTCCGAGCTTCTTCCCGACGGCAACCGCGATGGGGACGTGGGGACCGGCAGCGTAACGTCAGCGGCCTGCCATGATGTATGACGAGCCGTCGCGCGGCGATACTTGAAGCTGCTAACGGCAGCCAAGGCATGAAGATCGGGGGCACGTGTGGTGGCTTTGAGGCCCTGCTGTCGCTTGGTGCTTGTGGCCAAGTTGCCGCCGCCGCCGCCGCCGTGGGACTGCGCGGTGGTGCTGGTGCTGGCGGCGGCAGCAGCGACGGCGGCGGCAGCGGCAGCGGCAGCGTCCATGGAGGAAATCGCCCATGAGCGCTGGCTCACAAAAGAGCGGCGGCTCCCGCCGCCGCCGTCACCGTCGCCGCCGCTGACGTCGGTGTACTGCGACGCCGAGGAGCGGCCGGACATGGACACCTTGGCCGCAGGCATGGAGCGGATGGTCAACCTGGTCAAGCGGCCGGCGGCGCTGCATGCCGTACAGATCCGGAAAGCGAAGCATGACCGTTTTTCAGTGGGAAGGGATACAATCAGAAGTCACCCTGGGAGGACAGCGCCTACCGCGCAAACATTAAGAGCACGCGGGCCTTACAACAGCAGAGCCCATGAACGAGTCACACACGTCGCACGAAATTGACAGACGTACTCAAGCCGCCTCAGCTGTCCCTACGCGTCGTTGTCCCTGCACATCGCCCGACCTTTCCAAGTCGTACTCACGTGAGCCACGATTCCCTAGTTCGCCTTGTTGCCGGCTGCGCCGGCGCCGGCGCTGCCGCCATCGATAGTGCCGCCGCCACCGCCGTCGCCTCAATTTGCGCCATCCCGTCATGCAAACATGACTGCACTGACTGCAGGGAAGGTACCGACGGCATCGAGTGCAACGAATGTACGGACTCTTCTAGCTGTGGCGGTGGCGGTGGCGGTGTCACGCGGCGCCATCGGGAAGCCCCTCCATCGCCGCTGCCGTCGCCGCCACCCGCCGCCTCCACCGCCGCCGCAACTGCCGCCTCGTTTGGCAGTTCTGGATTCTGCCGCTCACACACAAGCGCCGCCGCCGTTGGCGGTGCTATTATAGTCGGGGCCGATGGCTGGCCCGCGAAAACCGGCGCCGCCGTTGCCGCCGCCGCCGCCGCCGTCGGCGGCGCCTGTTGGCCAGTGATCCCCTCCGGCGTCTCCGAGATCCGTACCAGACTAGGCAAACTGCTCAAGGCAGGCGTCGACCGGTTCCGGAGCACGCCCACACTGACGGAGGAGGTGAATGCTGCCGCCGCCACCGACGCCGCCGGCACCGACGACGTGTTGAGAACAGCGGACCTTCCTCCGGCACCGGCATCTGTGAATACTGCAACGTCGAATCCCTGGTCCAAGACCGTCTCCACGTTTCCACTGCCGCTAGCAACAGCAGGAGCAGGAGCAGCAGGAGCAGCAGCAGGAGTAGCAGTGGCAGCATCAGGAGCAGCTGACGTGCAGGCGGTGGGCATTTCAGTTAGCGGGGTAGCAATGACCGGCTGTAGCGTGTTGATGCTGGCGGATTCTAGTGCATCAGGCGCCGTGGATGACAGCTGCTGCTGCTGCTGCTGCTGCTGCATCGCTTCCTCTGCTTGCTGCTCCACGTGCTGCTGCTGCTTCACAAGCTGTCGTTGGTGCTCCAGGTAAAGACTGCTCAGCGGCATCGCCTCCTCCTCCTCCTCCTCCTGTGCAGCAAAAGCCTACATAGAAATAGACACAGCAGACAGCGCATCGACTGAATAGCAGACAGTCAAAACAAGGAAGGGGGATCAGCAAGAGGGCACAGACGACACACACGGCACAACAAGAGAGCGCAGCTTATTGAAGCGCAGGAGCAGAAGCGCACATACTCCTGAAAACCCCAACAGCACGGCGGACCGGTATTAAGGCGGACCGGTATTAAGCACAGCGTGGGTACTACACATTGCATGGGTACTACAAAACACAAAAAAGCTCTGCTGCTCTGTCGACGCCAGAGAAACACGCTACATCAAAAACAACACACGACGGGAACGCTAATCCCATGTCCTGTAACAATAACAATCCATCCGGCGAAAACCTCATTTGAGCCCTCCCAGCCCTGTGGACTGCCGCACCCACAGACCACTGCCAACTCGGCTGGCCCGCGGCCCTGCTCAGCACCCACACGGCCACCCCAGCCCTCTCCACCCGAGGCTCCACCATCTGCTGGCCCCCCGGTCGTGGAGTTGTGGCTTCCGTGGATGGATGGTAGTGGATGATGGTGCACATGTACCCCAGAACAGGAAGTCCAGATTCCCCTCGCTCCCGCCCTGAGCTCCCGTCTCACAGTTGCACTGTCCCGTAAGCCGCTGCCAAGTACCAGAGCATCCACACTGAGTATGTAGCCCACCGTGTGCTCGTCCATGTACGGGTTGTCCGCATGGTCGTGGTAATGGGGTTGGTCGGTGTGGCGGCTGACGTCGTGGTGGGTCGCCGTGGCCGCCGCCGCCGCCGCGGCGGCGGCGGCGGCTGCCGCAGAGCTGCTGCCCCCCATGGGCGCCAGTTTGACGTCAAAGCTGATGGGTGGAATGGAAGGCAAAGGAAAAAGGAGGGCTGGATTCGGAGTTTGTGTTGAGGGGTGGGGTGGGGGGTGGGGGGGTGGGTAAAGATGAATTACGAACGAGTGAGGCTGCTGTCAAGGAAAGAGTGTACAAGAAGGGTTGGGGGGGTGGGGACCAGGGTGGTTGCAGGGGTGCCGGTCGACGCCTCAACGCCTCAAAAAAACCGTTGCAGTCTCCTCATCGCTATACCATCCACGTCATCATCTTACCTCTGTTCCATGTCTCTGTGGTGGGCCATGCGCACACCTATGAGTATGACCTCCTCCTCGCGCCACAGCTTGAGAGCCGCCTGCTTGAACGTAAGGCCCCAGTACGGCTGCAAGGCATGAGATTTCCAAACATGAGGGCGAAAGCTAGGGGTAATGTCTTGAAATGCGTCATCGAGATGCAGTCGGGAAGGCACGAGCAACTCGAACACAATGGAAGGCAATGGAAGCTTCCACGGGGTCCGTAGGAAACCCCCTCAGTCTTTACACCCCTAAAACCCTTGTGATTTAGGGTTTAAAACCCTAAAACCCTAAAACCGGAAGGGTTAATGATCAGGGGCGCTGCGCGGAAACGGTGTGGCCCATCCAATTCAAAAACCATCTTTCCCCCCTTCCCCTTCGACCCCTACCCGTAGAGGGTAGTCGTAATGCCGTACCGGACACGTACACGTACTGTCCTTGCCGCCACACCGTCCCCACTTCCCACGCCTTACCCTAGGAAATGTGACATCGTATATTTCAACACTGGCCCCGCCGAGGTACTCGGACAGCCAGCCGCAATGGGTCAGCTGGATGGGGACGAGTGAGCAGGGTGAGTGAGCGGGGGTGAGTGAGCGGGGGTGAGTGAGCGGGGTGATGGAGGTGGGAACAGGGTTGGGGGGAGTGCATGAGTAACGCCGGAGGGGTCGCGCAAAGGCGCGAGTAGGACAGTGACGAGGATTCAGTGAGTGGGCGAGAGTGGGCGCGCTCCTATATTCTGGGTCAGATACAGAACCAAATCCATACCCACACCCTCCCAACGCCCCAGCACGCAAAGCCGCAATCCTTCCCTCGTCCTTTGCCTTCGCTGCCTCCCGCTTCACTCCCAACACTAGCACAGCCGCCCCTCTCCCTCTTTCCTCCCCTCCATGCCCCTCCCATGCCCTCGCACCATGGACACGTCCTCCCTGCCCCTCATCGTGCTCCTGGTCAGGGTGGAGCTGATACACAGGTTGGCTATTAGGGCTATGAGGCCGGGCGTGTGTAGGGCGGCACCCAGCAGGGCGGCACGTAGACTGCCCACACACCTACACACCGTACACATTGCACGACAGACAGGAGGACAGGAGTGGGCGCGATACACACGACGGCACCCCGGGGGGGAGTCCTGGCATCCGGGGGGAAAAGGGACCCCAACGTCCGTCTGCGCTCTTTCACCCACGTGGACATGTGGCCAACAGCTTCGCCTTTCTGCCCGAGCAGGCCTTACCACAGCTGCTGTTGCATATCACAGTCCATAAAATGTGGGGTTTAGGTGCTGAAACACACACACACACACACATACACACGCGCGCGCACATACACTACCCTTGCTTCTCGCGGCTCAGTTCACTTCCCACGTTCGTTTCAACGTCTAGAGATCTGTGTGTGTGTGTGTGTTGGACCCCCCACCCACAGCAACCCCCGTCAAGCCCCACCAAGCCCCCACAACCCACACAGGGAAGGGGCTGATGTCTAGCGGTAGCAGCCCCAGCTCCGGGGGATGTCTGACTCCGGAGCGCAGCAGGGAAATGGCGTGGTCCAGGGTTTCATTCAACAGGAACTGGGCGATGATATGCGGGTGACTGGAGGAGGAGGCGGCGGAGGAGGCGGCGGAGGAGGAGGACGGGGCCTGCTGCGCTGGCGGGTAAGGGGAGCACAGGCAGGCACAGGGACCAGAGAGGGAGATGGAGGGTAGCCCTTGACAGGTGTGACGGGATGCCTGGGCAAAAACGTAGCACGTGTGTGTGTTTGTGTGTGTGTGTGTGTGTGTGAGAGGGGGTGAGGGATCGGGGGAAAATGGGGTTTGCTGTCTGACAGGGGACTTCGTGCACCTGTATCAGGACATGGGGCTCGTCTTCTGCACGTGACGAGACACTGTGTTTTGTGACAGAGTTCTATCCGGGGTTGGCAATGTGGCTAAGGCCACATGAGGGTTTCCCTTCCTTAACTGCATCCTTCGCTTGTCCCCCTCATTTCCCCTCAATTTGTCCTCCTGTGCCACTCTCGCCTCTCAGTTCCTACTCTCGCCGTTTAACCCTCACCGCCGCGACATCAAAGATCCTTAAAACACACAGCACTCCCCTTCCCTCCTGTAAGCCCCCTCAGCCCATCCTTTCCGTCCTTCTTATCGTGCCTTTAGTAGTAGAGTTTTAATAGTAGACATACAAACAAACACGTATGCATGAACACACGCGTGCAGAAAAACACACGCATGCAAACACACACACACACACGCACCAGGATGTGTCGCCCCTTCCAGCTGGTGGCGCTCCAGTTTACAACTCGAGGGGGCATCAGATCCCCGGGACTGCCGAACTGTCGCAGGAACTGAGCCACCGCCTGCACCGCCAGCAACGTACGGCTGTCCTCGACCCGTGGGTCGGCCGCGTATTTGTTCGCCAGCACAAACACAGCCAGCGCACGGCCCGTGTCGGCACGGGCAAGATCCTGATTAGGAGGTGATGGGAAGGGGAGGGAGGCGTAGAGGAGGTGATGGGAAGGGGAGGGAAGGGTAGAGGAGGTGATGGGAAGAGGAGGGAAGGGTAAGACGAGCCACTGGCGATGAAGCAGATACCAGAGAAGAGGAGGGAAGGTTAGAGGGGGGGGAGAGGAAGGGGGAAGGTAAGAGGAGGGGAGGGAGAAGACATAGAACATGCAGGAAGCAGCGGATCAACCTCATCTGACTTCCAGGGCGGTTGGCGTCCTGGCGACGGAAGGGAGGAAAAGACGAACCACCCGCGAGTGAAGCTGCTGACAAGGAAAGAGAGGGAGGGAGGGGAAGGGAAGGAGGGAAAGACACAGGGGAGAGAGGAGGGGTTAAAAGGGCGGAGCACCTTGGCCACCTCGGCAAGAGAGCATGAAGACCCGGGACAGTGAGCGCGGTAGGCGGCGAAGTGGGGGTAAAGACGAGATGGCACGCGGGACGAGCTGGGACGAGCACGTACCTCAGCCTGGAAGGGTGAGCCGTTTAGGTACTTGATTCGCTGCTCCCACCTAGGGTTGTTCATGGTGATGACCAGCTGGGGCTCAGGGTCTCTAGGGCACAACACCACCACGTCCAAGTCCTGGAGGGGAAGGCGCGGAGGGAGGGAGACGTGGCCATGACGCGTCATGGGTCATGGGTTATGGATATTATTACCAAGCAGGCAACCCTTCAGGGAGCAGAGGGTTTGCATGCCGACCCACGGGTCAGTCTCCTTACCTATTCTAGCCCCAAGGGCGCCCTCTTCCCGAAACGAGGCTCTTTTTCCCGCCGCGACATAGCACACACTGTCAAGCAATGCGCCACCAATGTGACCCACGGGTCACTGGCCCCACCCTAAGACCCATTACCTGATACCCCCGGCCCTGGTGGTAGAACTCTGTGATGAAGGTCTGGGCAGAGAGCCACGTCACGTGGCCGGTAAGTACGACATGTTGGCCAAAGCGGTGGGAACGGTGGCAGCGGAGGACAAAGCGGCTAAAAGTCTGGGGGGGGGCCGCCAAGAGGGGTTTGGGGTTTTTCGGTGGGTTTCGGAGCCGCGGGGTTACCACAAGATATTTCGGGATGGTGAGGGTATGCGGGGCTGAAGGGAAATCGTGAAGGAGAAAAGACGGATCAAAACCTAACAGGATAATGTGCAGAACGGAGTAAGGAGAAGGAGTACGGATTAAGGAGTAGGAGACGGTTTCCTTGTGTACGACATGATGATATCATCATCATCACGTCATTGCCGTACCTTCATCATATCCGTCAGATGCGATACCTTCCTGGGTAGTAAAATAATGACTACAAGGATGATGAACGGGAACAATCTGCGGCAGGGTAGCAGAGGGAAAAGCGGGTTGTGGGCCCACGGCCTAAAGCACGCCTTTGACCGCATACCTGACATCCCTACCCGATGGTTCTCTCGGTTTGAAAAACCCCTTCCTCATTACTCCCGCCCCGCACACCCTCTACCTAACCCCCGCTTCCCACCTTCAAACCTTCCCATCCCTTTTCCACAATGCCCGAGCTCGAGCCGCATTGCCGACACGACGCATGGTTCATCCCTTTTTAACCCCAAAATTGCCAGGTATATGCTTATTTTTTCCCAATTTTGCAGCGAAGTTGTGCTTCTCGCGCATATTACATACAAAAAGTCTTCGGTCCTCAGCGCAGAAATTCTTCGCGCCCGGAAATAACATCAAGATATAGACGTTTCCTTTTTTATTTCTTGTTTATTCGTCCGTGACGTGGGGCGTCAGTCGTGACAACATCCCCCCCCCCGACGTGCTCCTTCCAGTGCTGCTCATCCAGAGCACAGAGCACATCCACCCTCCTCACACAGCATCATGACAGCATACCACCGGACTGAACTCACAACTGCCCGGCGACTGTCCCCGGCGCGTAGTCCCCGTAGCCGATGGTGGAGAAGGTGACACACGCCCAGTAAATGGCGTTGTGCAGCTGGAGATCCCCCTGGACCTGCATGCCATGCGGGGGAAGAGGAGGAGAGAGGGAAGGAAGGTGGGGAAAGACGAACCACGAACGAGTGAACTGCTGCCAAGGAAGCTGCTGCCAAGGAAAGAGCAGAGCTGACTAGTAAGCGGTTTTGAAGGAGGCGACATCGGGATTATGTAATGATGACGGGGAAGGTGGGGAAGGGGAGACAGGGGAGGCTCAACCCCTCAACCCGGTTTCATGTTGATATAGGGTTAATATACTCATGTTGATGTAGGGTTAATATACTCATGTTGATGTAGGGTTAATATACTCATGTTGATGTAGAGTTAATATACTCATGTTGATATAGGGTTAATATACTCATGTTGATATAGGGTTAATATACTCATGTTGATATAGGGTTAAATATACCGCCCGGACACCAATCCACTCCTCAACCCCAACAAAAAAAAACCTTCCGACGACATTTTCACCCCAAAACCCTAAAACCCAAATTTGCGGTACCCCTCTTCTGACACACACACCCAGCCCTATCTTGTTCTGCCTCGTCCCCCCGCCCCGTCCGTCCGGTTTGTGAGAACAGGAGGCTTGTCCAATTCGATTACATCTGGTTCCATTGTCTCTTCCTTCCTTCAGACCCCCCCGCGGTGCCAGCTTCGCCAGCAGTCCGCAGCGCGCGCACCACTTCTAACTCGTAGAAGACGCAGCCGGAAATGAAGATCACAGCCACCAACGTCATGGCCACATCTGCACTCAGCCGGACCAACTCTAGCTGCATCGGCTGTGAAGTGTGTCGAGTATATTGCAGCACAAGAGACGTGATGGACTTGCACAACCGGACCACCTGAAAGCACGGGAGCATCGGAGAGTCGATAGGGAGGTGGGGGCGATATGGGGACAGCAGGGCAGGAGGCACCCGGTTTGTACGCTGTTGAGGACCCTGACCTGGAGAATTCTTGAGACTGACTTTGTGATTTAAGTCCTTGGATCTTGGTTTCGGAACGAATTTTAGGGATCCAGGATCCGGGAAATGGGTTTTTTGGGGCGAGCCTTGGAGCTAGGTTTCTGGATCTGGACATCCGCGGAAAATGCGATCTGGGTCCTGGATGCTTGCTCTGATACCTAACGCCCGTCACAACTAACCAACCAACTAACTGACCTGGATGATTCGCAATAGCCGAACGAATCCTAGATCGTTAGAAACGTCGATGTCGACGTAGTAGGCAATGCCGTAGACAATGGTCGCAACGTCGATCAGCGCCCAGCTCCAAAACATGTACGACAGCCAGTCATCGGCAGCCAGCAATTTAAGCACGTACTCCACCGTGAAGGTGCAGGAGCAAGCAAGGTACGTCTTGCGCGCCAGGTCATCAATGGGTACGTACGTGTCGTACACGTATACGGATACCGAGATGAGCGACATCACTGTGTTGATGGCCTGAGAGTATGAGGGGTATGGGGTTTTAGGGAGCGATTCTTACAGCGCAGCCAGAACATTGGTTTTAGGGAAACATACATGAGAGATGAAACGTGCAGGCAAAGACGGATAGGGAAAGCATAAGATGAAGGAAAGAGGACACGCGTGGGTTTGAACTGTTTTGCATTATCATATGAACGAGAGGAGTGCGCCTATGCAAGCAAAGATGGCGAGGGCTTCTGCGATGGGTTTTGATTTGGAACCGGCGGCTAGGGTTAAGGACGAACATAGGACTTTCAGTGTCCGGACGCGGTATGTTTTTTAAATTGGAGCTTGGATGTTTCGTTTTGATCATTATGCCATGTCAGTTGACCTTCGCTGGCTTGCTGGCAAAATCAGGTGTGGCTTGTTGAAGCGCGATGATTGTCAGACACGTGCGCAGCTGTCCCCACATATTGCCTGGAGAGCCGTACCTCAAGGGCTATCCGCAGGTTGGATTTATTAAAGTTGTATTGGTACCGTTGCTGGGGATGGGTGTCACGTGGAGACCGGTGTGTCAGCTTGGTTGGCGCTGACGGTTAACATTGCGAAGGGAACTGTGCTCTCCAGGACACGATAACTCCCAGGAGTTGTCAGAGAGCCACAAGCATCATGAAGACTACACATGCGCGCTTCATATCGGTCAAACCATGTATACCTGCCAGGATATCCGCAACACGTCGGCTTGCTCAAAGCCGCAAAGGGGTATACCTTTGCTCAACATAATGGTCAGAAATTTATCGTCGTCCTGAGAAGGTCTACCTAGTCAAGCGCCCTGTATGCAAGTAAGCCCAGGGTTCTTGCAGAGCAGGAAAGTGGTATAGTCCCTTCAGCGCACGCATCAGTCTTAGGATACATCAAGACATGTTCCCATATTAGCCAAGAATATCTTTGACGACGATGGAATTAGGCCCCAACTTTGGCGCAAGACGGTTGTACGATATAACGCCCACAGCATCAACTTGGCTGAGAATGCCGATCACTTCATGATAATTTTATATACATGTTAAAGCCGGTAGGCAAGCTGCCAGTTGCGTGTATCTTATTCTTGAACGGCAACCTCTTTTTATTTGGCCTTTTTATTTGCCTACTTACTACAAGTCTGCTCTGTTCTCTTAATTAGAACAAAATGCTCCAAAGGATTGGATTACAACTTCTACATCATGGTCGGATGCTTCCTACCGTGCTGAGCCAAAGCTCAGCTGTTCTTCGCAGCTTTTCCGCCGCTCCACAGCCAGCGGAGGACACTGACACAGGTGCGTGCTTGTGTGTCTGTAACAGGAGATAGGCCGGGGACTGCCGATTGGTTGGAGCTTTTCTGCGCGGCGCAACGTGGCGCAGCACATCGCTATGCTTTCTCGTGTTGAGAAAGCAACATACTGATATCTCTACTCTAGTAACAACTGAAACATTACAACAACCCATGATACTTTTAGTACACGGTCTTGATATCTTCCGAATGAGGAGATTTCTTAACCCTTTTTTTCTTCGTGAGATGAGATGTGGGCTTCCAAAGGCAGAGCACAGCTGCCTGACTGATGTCCAAGCACGACGGGTAAAAAAAAGGGAATGTTGTGGACACAGCCCGGCACTCCTTCCTCATCCTAGGGACGTACCTGTACCCCTCACACTAAGCTAGCGGGGCCCCCTCCACACAAATGCTTCTCAACCGCTCTCCGCGTTGCGGTATGCATCGCCCGCAACGATCATATTCGCGACGTTGTTCCAACTGACGCGTTTACAATTGCCTCGGCAGTCCAACCTCGGTTCGCACGTCTGGCGAAGGCTGCCTAAGCACCGTTGCTTGGCTGCGACTCGAAAAACGCAGTCGTTCTCCCGTTTCGCCTCTTCAGAGACCGACTGTTCTTTCCTTGCCAAAGCTGGGCCCTTTCAGTCATTTCCCCTTTCCCACATCGACCAGCCGGCCGGGGGCCGCCATGGAGGTCCCCCTTTTGGCGGCTATCTATCCACCCCTTCCAGTATTTTAGACGCCGCGACTCCCCGCTCGCAATTTTGGGATTTGGGAGAACGAAGGGGTCGCTGCCACCCTTCGCTTAACATCGCTGTCCCATGCACCGCTGGTACTGCGGCAGTTATCAGTTGCTGGCGGTTGCTGACGGTTGTACCTGTCCCCCCGGTTGCTAAAAAGAGCAACCTTGGGCCGTCGTTCCGGGGCTCCTTTTCCATCCATCCATCCGTTCAGAACTTTCCCTCAGATTCTTAACTCGCCACTCTGCCCATGCCAGAATGTCCAAGCAATTGATTGATCCGCTTTTTGCCAGAAGGAGTGATTTTCCCATGATTTTCTGTTCCCATGTCTATTCCGGCCCTCATTGTAATCATAATCCTCGCACAGGGGTGCCGATCATAGAGAAGAAGGGAATCTCCCTGCGAGGTGTGCCGCTGTATCTGGACATGCAGGCCACTACGCCTATGGACCCACGGGTCATTGATGCCATGCTGCCGTTCATGACAGAGCAGGCAAGTCCGGGGGCAAAGGACTGAGGGAGGAGTCAGTGATGGTTTGGTTAGAGGAGGAAATAAAACCAGTTGGCGCTGGGATGGGGCCCGACAGCGGTTGGGCCCAACGACCTGCGTTGCCGAACGAATTCCGGCACGGGAAGGGGGGTGGAGGTTAACAAATGCCTTCCCTGCCCTTGTTGCCTTGACTCCTCCTCCGCGCTTTCCTTAGTTAACGCAATCAAGTTGATGCGATTTGACTGAACTGATGTTGATGATGTCGCAATTTGATTCCGGTCGCTCCGCAGTTCGGCAACCCACATTCCCGTACGCACCTGTACGGCTGGGAATCTGAGGAGGCGGTGGAGGACGCCCGTGCCAAGGTAGGGGGGAGAGATAAACCGTGCGTGGTGCATGGATGCACCGATGCGGCCTTCTCAACATCGCCACCTGTTGCCGTTTGCCCCCGTCTGTCTGTCTGTCTGTCTGTCTGTCTGTTCTGACTGTCTTTCCTGACCGTCTGCCAGGTTAGCGGAGTGGTCCTGGCACTGCAATAGTGCGGGCTGCATGCGCGTGGATACCACTTTCCCATCCGGGTCTATGTGCGCATGTCTCACTCTTTCTTTGCAATTCCCTCTGTCGTGCTGTGTCGCCCCGTCTGTCTGTCTGTCTGTCTGTCTGTATGCCTGTCCATTGATCTGTCTGTCTTTCTGTCCATTGGGCCTCTTTTCTGGACCAGTGAGTGGTTCCTGGGGTCGCCTTGTCTATTGCAGCCTGCTCGCCACACCGCTGCCGCCGCCTTTCCCTCCCCCTCCGCTTTCTCCTCCAACGTCTCTATAGCGCACAAGCCTGAGGGCGGTGTTGGTCTGGCTCGTCCTTTTGCTCCTTTTGCCGCTGCCACTGCCCCCACACCTGGCTCTGCGTCCCTACCTTCGTGCTTTTTAACCATCAACCTTGCGTTTTTTGCGTCAGCATCAAACCATCATCACCACCATTATCATGATTGGCTCCACCCTATGGTTCCCACACCACACACATACTTTGTTGTATCCGCACCTGCCCCATCGTGGTCCTCCCACCACCACACACACACACACAGCAGCTTCACTCGTTCGTGGTTCGTCTCTTCCCCCCCCACACACACACACGCCCACCTCCTTTTTATTCGTGTTCAGATCGCCCGGCTTATCGGAGCGGATCCCAAAGAGATCATCTTCACCAGCGGGGCTACGGAGTCCAACAACACCGCCATCAAGGGGGTCGCCACATACCACAAGGACAAGAAAAAACACGTCATCACGACGCAGGTGGGGAAAGGGCCGGGGAGAAAGGGAAAGGGGCAGAGTACTTTTTCCCTGGAAAAAGAAAAACAGGGGCAGGGGACGGATATCATTTTTGAGGATGTGGGCAGCTAGACAATAATACAGGGAAAGGAAATGGTAGCTGGATGGGGTGTGTGATGGTGCGGGGCGGGGTGGGGTGGTGGAGGTGGAGGTGGGGGAATCAAGGGGGGTGGTCGGCGTTGAGGAGGACTCGTTGTTTCCTTCCTCCTCGTGTATCCCTCTCCTTCCCAACACGTTTCTGATAGCTCGACACGTCGAGTGCTGTCTACAAGGGCTCATACCGGTGGTTCGCAAACACGGCATTTCCAAAGGGCCTCGCTCTTGGCCCCCCTCAGGGCTCAATGAATGTATGTATGTATGTATGTATGTATGTATGTATGTATGTATGTATGTATGTATGTATGTATGGGCCCACTCTTTGTTACGCGTTTGGAGAGTTACGGGTGGAGGCGTAACATACACACACAAAAAAAAACAAATACACACACAGACACGCGTGTCTTTCTTCCATACATGTCCTCGTCTTTCAACATCTGCATTTTCCCTTACGGCTACCGCCCCCGGGTGCCCGCATGTGCCATGCTCGGCCCACCTGCCGGGTAGCGGGTGCTTTAGTAAAGCCATCAGCCGACCCTCATTGCTTCTTGCTGCACCTGATCTCCATCTTCCTCTTCCCTACCTTCCCCTACCTTCCCTGTCCCGATGCAGACAGAGCACAAGTGTGTTTTGGACAGCTGCCGGTGGCTGCAGCAGCGGGGTTGGGATGTGACGTACCTACCGGTAGGATGTGGAGAGGGGGAAAGGGGTATTTGCGGTTGGGGGAACGGATGGTAAGAGGGTTAGAAGGGGGTGGTAGGGGTAGGCGGCGCTGCGTGGGGGGGAAGGGGGAAACCCTGTCCATGTCCGTACACGATGCATGGCATCCCGCATCCCCCCCCAAAAAAGCATCCGCTGTGCTGTCCCCCATTCGCGTTGACGAGCGCCCTGTATATACCTTTCCCTCCCCTTCCTTTTTACAACTTTGCATATCTGGATTTCGTAATATAATAAGGAATATTTATTTAATTGTTTTTGTTGTAAATTACAAACGAGTAACAGATTACAAAGTAAATTATACTATTTTTGTAATAACAAACAAATTCAAAATTTCGATGTTTAGACGATAACGGAAAATAATGAATATTATTAATGAATTATTGATACCGCATCACTCCTACCTGTATGTGTGTGTGTTCGCGTTTATAAAAAAATAGGTTCGCCCCGACGGCCTCCTGGATTTGAATACGTTGGAGAGCGCCATAAGGCCCGATACGGCCCTGGTCAGCGTGATGGCGGTCAACAATGAGATCGGTGTCGTACAGCCACTGAAGGAGATTGGCGAGATCTGCAGATCCAAGGGTGTGTATTTCCACACAGATGGTGCGCAGGTACGGCACTTTGTACGGCAGTACGGCTGTTTTTCCTGTTTTTTGTGCGGTATGAAGCCCGTCTCCACAGATGGGAGGGGGCAAGTGCCTAAGTGCCTAGTGTTTGTCCTCTCCCAAACCCACCGCACCTCTCCTACCCGTCCTACAGGCAGTCGGTAAGATCCCCCTGGACGTCAACGCCGCCAAAGTTGACCTCCTATCCATCAGCGGTCACAAGATCTACGGTCCCAAGGGCGTGGGGGCGCTGTACGTCAGAAGGTGAGGAACAGGAGCAGGAGGAGGCGCAGGAGAACACACCTGGAAGGATGAGAGAATGAAAGAATGAAATATAACCCCCCAACATCTCCAACATCGGCGACGGGGGGGGGATGTGGTGCACGACAGGGCACCGGATAGAGGGACCTGGGGCTTAGCGTGGTTTTTATGAGCCTTGCAGGGAGCGGGGGTTGGGCGGGTCGATGGTGGATCAACCAGCCTGCCCCGCTCCTGGTACCTCTATCCCTCTTTGTTGTGGTACCTGCCTGGTGGTACCTGCCGTACAGCCGCCTCCGAAACCCTTGCCTGCAGGCTGCCAGCTGCTCGTAAACGGTTGAGAGAAAAAAGAGCCCTAGGGCTCTTCCCCAACCGCTACAACTCACCACGGTCTTTTTCCAAAGACCTGACAGCTTAAAGACACTGTATTGAGATTCAATGGAGACCAGTGTGTGTTGGCAGTCGTCACCCGGGTGACCCCCTGGTCGGTCGAGTCGCGTTGCTTCGTGGGGGCGGACGTGTCCGTCTGGTTTTTTGTTTCAGCGGAACTAAACCCAAACCTTTCGACCCTCCCCCCTACCGCCCATGCCCCCGATATCACCCATTCCCCTGACCTCATCCCTTCGCACACAGACACACACAGACACACACAGACACACACAGACACACACAGACACACACAGACACACACAGACACACACAGACACACACAGACACACACAGACACACACAGACACACACAGACACACAGACACACACACACAGACACACACACAGACACACACAGACACACACACACAGACACACACACAGACACACACAGACACACACACACAGACACACACACACACAGACACACACACACACAGACACACACACACACAGACACACACACACACAGACACACACACACAGACACACACACAGACACACACACACAGACACACACACACAGACACACACACACACAGACACACACACACAGACACACACAGACACACACAGACACACACAGACACACACAGACACACACTCTCTGTCGCCCCCACTCTATCTTCCCGAGCGGAAAACCTAAAACCCTAAATCAAAGCTTAAATATATCTTTCCCCCCTTCATATTACCGCAATAATTCCCCCACCAGGCGCCCCCGCGTGCGCCTCGAGCCCCTCATGAGCGGCGGCGGTCAGGAGCGGGGCTTCCGCTCCGGAACCGTACCCACGCCCCTGGTGGTGGGACTGGGGGCGGCATGCGAGGTGGCCCAGCGGGAGATGGAGAAGGATCTCGCCCACGTGAAGCGGTTGGAGGAGCGGTTGCGCACGGGGATTGTTAGCCAGCTTCAGGGCGTCGTGCTGAACGGCCCGTCCGACCCGGCTCAACGCTACCCGGGAAACCTGAACTTGTCGTTCGCGTACGTGGAGGGCGAGTCGCTCATCATGGGACTCAAGGTGGGCTGTGAGGCTTTTTTAAGGAGAGCTGTGCTTTTGACCGACCGACCCGCGGGTCACGCATGGAGTGAATGCGGTTGGTCAGGGAATTCTGTTGTTCACCCCACCATCATTGATCACCCCATCCACCTCGCCGTCACAGTGCCACGATGTCACTTTGCCATGGTGCAGGAGATTGCGGTCAGCAGCGGCTCCGCGTGCACGTCGGCCTCCCTGGAGCCGTCGTACGTGCTGCGGGCGCTAGGAGTGGAGGAGGAGCTGGCACACACCAGCATCAGATACGGCATGGGGCGATTCACCACGGAAGCGGTGTGTGTGTGTGTGTGTGTGTTGTTTGGGTAACGTTGAGGGGGCGCTGAGTGAGATCCTGTTGGATCAATTGCTGGGATGCAAGCGCCCGCCCCCCACCCCACGCCCATCTTGTGGTGTCACTTGAAGGCACGAGTAGTGTGTGCCTTACGGAGGGAGCCGAAATTGATTATTATTAAAACCATCCACCACCATCTCTTCACGCGGGCAGCAGTTCCTTGATGGTTGGGGCCACATCCACCTTCCTATAACCGCCACCGTACGGCAAACCCAAGAGTCAGCCCAGACCCAAACACGTCATGCTCTTCCTACCCCGATATCTACCTACCTGTCTGTCTGTCTGTCTGTCCTACCGCCGTGCTCTCCCTCTCATCCCGCTCCCTACTTTCTTTGCACGCTTCCCCCCCGCGCTTCCCCCCTGCGCACACCGTGTGTTGGTGTATGCTTTGGTGGTACGTGTCGTGCACAGGAGGTGGATCGCGCGATCTCCATGACGGTGGACCATGTAAACAAGCTGCGGGAGATGAGTCCGTTGTGGGAGATGGTGCAGGAGGGCGTTGACCTGAAGAGCATCCAGTGGGCTCAACATTGAGGGAGGGGGGGGGCTTAGGAAGGTTGGGGGGGGGGAAAGCGAAGGGAAGGGGTTTCAAACCCCCTAGCGTCTGTAGGAGGGATGGGACGGGGGTTACGATTGTGCAAGGCCGAGGGAGTGAGTGACGAAAAGAGACGCGGGCATGTTCACAAAATAGCAGCAGTATAAAATCGCAGTAGCAGTAGCAGTAGCATGAAGAGCGCTGGCAGCAGCAAGGGGACTCGGCCGCAGACGGCGGTGATTGGAGAAAGGGCAGGTAACGGGAAAACGCTGCGCCCTTATCCCATTCCTACAGCACCAGCTGTTCTGTAATGTTTGCGTTGCAACAGCAGGGAAGGGAACGGTTAGGTTGGTTGGTAGGCCTCCTCCTGCCAACGCCGTCGCCGTATCATATATATACCAATGAACGGACTGTTGTGCGAGTGTGAAATGTACATGTATACGAGGCGAGGCGGCGGCATATGGCAAAAAATATGAAGCACATTGGACGTCCTTTTGCCTGGAGACGCGGCAGTTTTCTGGCTGGATGGAGAGCTTGGCTTTGGGGCGTTGTTTCGCTTTGGTGCAATTGAGGCAAAAGAGGCTGAAAGCTCTGTCTGACGGCGGGTAAGGGGCTCGGGGCGAGTAAGAGGCTGGATGGAGATCACGCGGGTGTCTAGGCGGCAAACATACATGTACGGAAAAGAGATACTTTGTGCCAAACAAACGCTCTGTCGACCGGGCCATTGGCCCGCAGGCTTATTAAACGGTGTTTGGGTGTTATGCGGTTTGCTTGCTGCTGACCGAAGCGACAGGTCGGCCGTGGGAGGGGGGCCGAAAGGGGGAAAGGATTTTTACAATGCCTCTTTTCAGAGCAGAGCAGGACAGGCGGATACCCAAAAGCTCTTTCCTCGTTTGTAGGCTCGAATCTAATTCTTTTTCTTTCTACTCCTACGGGCCACGATGCGCTCTGCAAATTAAGTGCCGTTGTCGATGGACGCGCGTTGATGGACAATGTCTGTGGGTGCTAGTGGTTGGTAATGTGTCCGTTGTTTTTGAATGAATGCATAAGAGGCTTTCGTCGGCCATGGTGGCTGTTGCATGCCTGTTGGGTAGGCAGGACACATACACGGAATGTTTGGGCATATGGCTTGAAGTTTTCCCAACACAAAAAAAGACAAACGAGGGTTTTGTGACGTGGTGCGGGGCAATTTGCGCCTTGACAGGTAACGTCTATGTGGCATGGTACGGCAAGCTACGTTGCTGGAAACCATGCCGGGAGCCGCGCAGCAACCCCATGTACGAGGTCTCTCAAACCCAACCGACATAAAGCCTTTAGGTCGTATCCATAGACGACGCGTGTGTCGGCAGGTACTACATCCGCGTTTCGACAAAACATATGTCCCATTCGGTGCCCGCAGTGGGATTCCACAAAGCGCTGCGGAATGTGTTTGAAAAGGCTGGAAACCCTAAAACCCTAATATGTTGTACTTTCCAGCCGCGATAAGCATCCCCATGTACGCGACCACCACCGCATGTGGCCTTACCTTTGCGGTTGATGTAAAAACCGGGTGTTAATGTTGGGAACGCTAAGCTGCGGATCTAGGGCGTGCGGTTTGAAGGATTGCCTTGAGCCCTGGCCCTTATCAGTGGATTCATGGACATTAGGTGAGGCTGGGAAGCTGCTGGCCTGCAGCAGCATACAGGTAATCTGAGTTGAGGCGTTGAGGCGCGGCAGCTTTTCGTGTGGGCGTGGCTACTATTCGGATGCGCCATCCCGCCTGAATGCGTCATGTCTCTGGCTAGGCTGCGGTTTACGGTGGGACGGGGGTTCCTCATTCTGGATAGCCGTTTAACCTGACCTGCACATGCTTCTCACTTCCCTTGGCCGTGCTGTCCGCGCATCGAGCTGAAGGTTGGCTACATCCGTGCGGTAACCCCGGGGACGGTGTAATAGATCGAGCACTGCATGGCTTCACGATTACCTCGCGCCAGCTAAGGAATGAATTAGGTTACAGAGGAACCTCATAGTTCATCGGTACTGTCCGCACTGCATTGGCCACTAAAGCAAAATACTTCTGATCCTAGCTAACAACCGCATATCGCACTCAATATATTTAGTTGCCCCCCGAGTTGTGGTGAAAGCTATGCAGTACGCTATCATCTTAGGGTAACAGATCCCGACGTGCTCGTATCAGACGTGCCCGTCCCAGGTATGGTACGCGGCAGGCGCATCGCGTGAGGCATTCCATTCACAACATCGCAGCACAGCTCCGCGTGATGTCGCACGGGTTCATGCCAACAGGTTGGGTGGTGGAACTTTTTTACTGGTACCGTGGTCATGGCCATGCGTGTTTCGAGGTTTTGCCATGCTACAAGTCAGGAAGAAGGCAATATGCTGCACCGGTTCAGGGCAAAACCTCCCTCCTCTTTTCAGTCCGTATACAGACCTGGCCAGCGAGAACAACAAAACCACCGAGCTGCCGTACCACGGGCAAGCGGTCGCACCGCTTGCACTATCGCAATTCAAACACGCTAGGGCCTTTTTCATGTCTTGTCCAACTACCGTACCCAACTAATCCTCCTCCCTACACAAAGCCAGGCAGCAGGTAACAGAAGCAATAGCAATAGCAACAACGACAAACAGAACAAGAAAACAGCCAACGGTGAGCTATGCTATGCAGCCCCTCTGAACCCAAGGATCCCTTTGCCCGGATCCGGGATCCGGGGATCCGGGGGTCCCTTTGCCCCGAACTCCGTGCTACCATGACCGCCCTCATCCTCACAGCAACCCCCACAACTTGCACACCGTGCGCACGCGACAGAAGGAAGACCGGCCTCCTTGCAATGCAGAAACAAGAACAAAGATGGTGCAGGTGCACTCACAGCAGGCGACACACGCTGTCAAGTACGAGAAGAGTGCCACAGTTTGCTCGTCTGTAAGGTCAAAACCTGTAGAAAAGAGCTGAAAGCCTGCCGAGGTCGGGATGGCCCCGGCCAAACCGACAGCTTCGCGCAACTACATGATGGGCAACGGCGAGACATACAGAAGGACCCGTGCAATCAGCGGAAGCAACCCCACTCCCCAACGACACGAATCCACTGAATTGTTGCACTTCTGTCCACGAGTACACATACCGCAGAAGCCGTGGCGCCACAGTGCCACACAATAACCAGCCATTCAAATAAGCGTCATCGTCACAACACCCACAACGACACCTTGATTGGAAGGAATGCACCCGAGTACGCTAATACAATGACCCTCATGGCCATTGTGCCTGCTGCATTCCCTCCTATCCGCTGTCAAACCTAAAAGCCCTCCCTCCCATTACCTCTGGAAAAAACCGGTCGTCCTACCCTCCCCTAGATCCTCCCCTTCCCCGAAAACCGAGTGCCCCTCGAAACCCGCGTCTCCCACTCGACACCGCAGCGTCCCCTCAGGCGACTCACGTACGGAAAGTGTACGAATTCGAGGCCGTTACATACCGGACCCATCGGTACGGGTTGTAATTCTTATCCGCCTTTTTGAGAATCTGCAGGTACTTTAGCATGATGCGGGAAGCGCTGTACATGGGAATGGTGAAACGCAGGTTCACGGGCCCTACCTCACTCCTCAGCGATGGCACATACGGCTTCTCCAATGTGAGCCTCGCCCGCAACGTAAATTCACTGCCGCCAGGGCAGCGCTTGAAGCGCCAGCGCAGCAGATGAGTCTTCTCGTTGAAGTCCCAGTTCTGTGCAGCTGCTGCTGCTGCTGCCGCCGCCGCAGCGCCGCCCTTGCCCCCACCGCCCCCGCCAGCTCCGTCCAAATCGCAGTGCACTCGCTGCACCCACCGAGGCGTCGGTACCTCCACTTCAAGGCCGCTGGAGGCCTTCTCAGCCGGGATCTCGCACCACAGCCGCAGCGTCAAAAGGGCCTTATATTCGGAGTTAGGGTCGGCGTCGACGGTGGCGTGCAGGCGGAAGGGCGGCTTAAAGCCGTGCGTCGTGCGGTAGTTCATCAACGCGAACTCGCCGTCCGGAGGTACGAGCGAGATCGTGCGATCCACATCGAAGTTCTCGAGGTTCGCCACCTCATGGAAGTTGCAGTCGTCCAGTACGACCATGTGGCCGCGCTCCGCCGCGCGATCAAGGCCATAAGGCGTGTCGCGCTTGCCGATGAGGAGGTCGTCGTTGAGCTTGATCTTTATCGGCGGGTTGCCGGCCAGGTAGCTCTTGATTTGCACAGCGCCGTCGACCTGGGCAGAGGCTATGAAGCCGCTGGCATTGAAGGTGCTGTGGACCGCGGGGCAGCGGTGGTGGCGGTTGTTGAAAGGCGGGCGGCCGGGAGAGGCGGCGGGTAACAAGGAGCAAAGGGATAGGAAGGAGGGAAGGAGGCGTAAACTTAGGTCATGGGAGATTTCAGGATCGCGGAAAAGGTCTCGACCGGTTGCGCACACAGAAGATCTCCATAACATATTATATTCATAATACAATCGTAGACGACCTGGTGGCCGTGAAGGATGCAAAGTTGGAGAATGTCTTCAGAGACCGTGATATCCAAGCACGTGGTGATAAGAGCAACGCGCGATGGCAAGAGCAAGCACGACATCACTATCAATATGAACAATCGTCATCCTGCAAGGGGAAACCCCATCCAACCAGTGATGCGGTAAGTGGGGCTCAAGTCGCGAATACTGGATGGGAGGCGGAGACTGGGGGCCGACTATGCTTGGACAGGTACGCCAGGCCGCATCCGCACATGAATGGTGCGCCCAAATCACCCACAGGCTAGCCAGGAACAGTTCCCCCCAGTTCCCCCTCTAAAGTGGCGCGTGGCGGTGTGCCACATCGTAAATAGGAGACCCCATCGTGGTGGAACTGTATGCGTAGAAATGGCTCTTGCGTTGCTGATTTCGGTACGGCCGCAGGACCCCAAAGGCATGCCGCTTCAGCAAGCAAATCTCACGCGGCCGCCGTACTGCGTTTGTACCAGGCTGTCATCCCCGGCCAGTTCGTGCCCTACTGCTCGGACACATGCGTCTTGGCTGGGTTGAGCTGGGCTTGGCCCAAGCCCCAGTTCGGCCCAAGGCCTTAACGTTCAATTAGTAGAGCTAACCTCATGTGGCGGGGGATTATGTCTGCTGTAATCAAGAAACTCAAAATACTATTCAGCAGTGCGACGCTCGGCCCGCAGGTCATAAGAGAGGAAAATTGTGATTTGGTCGGGAGAGAATGGCATTGCAGGCTGTAAGATGGAGGTGAAGGACCCCATTTTGATGAGAAACGTTTGCCACGGTAAAGCCGTCTGTTGAACCACGGGTCTGACCACGATGGACGCTAGGGATGGCTGGGAACCCATCAGCATCCCTTGGGATTGCAAGCAGACAGGAATGAAATACAACAACAGCACAGATCTAGATAGCTTGCTGGTGGCACTGCACGCGGACACACCAGGTGATGCGCTCCACGACATCCACAAAGATCTCGTCCCGCCGCTTGCCATCTGTCCTGGAGGTCTCCAAAACGCTCTTGAAGACGCCCGTGGGGCCCTTGCTGAGGCTGAAAAGAGGCTTTGCCTGGTAAAACGCCGGCGGAACTACTATCGGTTCGTTCACGACAAACTGCTTGAGCGCCTCGGTGGCGGTGCTCTGAGGGAAGCCGTAATCCACGACCTCATCTAGGAGCTCATAAATCAACACCACGTTCTTCCGGATGGCGTCTTCGCTGAGGAAACCACAATAGTCCTTGACGATCGTGCAAATTCGCCTCAGAAACTCAAGCACAAAAGATGGTGACAGATTTGTCCGTGTTGTAGCCACCAGCTGCACTCCCCCCTCTTTAATGTGCAAGTAGGTAACTCCGTCCACGTTGAACACTGGAGGTGCTTCTCCATCGCCTTCTTTCCAGAACTTCGCATTTCGAAAGAACGTCTCGGACGAGGTACGCGGCACATCACCGAGATAGTCTTTGCGGATTATCACATCTCCCCTAGATGAGAGGATATAGAATTGAGAAATCATTCGTGCTGCCCCCTCTGGGGCTCCCTAGGTTCAAGGCGCCCCAAATTATTATAAATTAGATAATTCCTTCCATTTCGATATGGCAAGCATCACGTGGGTGCGACTTCGGTCCTACCGAGGACTGTGAGCAGCAATGGGCAGCTGGCCAAAAGCTACGCGTATTGAAGACTAAAAGCAATTTGTTACAACTCATCTTCCATTGGGTCATCGTTGACTATGTACAGTACTTCTGAGTCCACTGTGACCATCACTGCAACCGTCAACGAAAGAAGGTACGGCAATCGACGGCAAAATGCAACCATCATATGCACAATTACAACTTTCTTCGCTGCTTCGTGGCAGGCGTCATCATCACTATTCATATTGCGATTAAAGATAAGCGGCCGCGCAGGTTCATGAAACAGATCAACACGCCAAGCATTTCAGCCATAGCCTAGCAAAACTCACGCGTAGCTTATAGGTTTGGGGTTTTACACCTGTGTGGTGTGGCCCCAGCGGTCCGCTTTCGTATATGTTGGCCAGACAGGCGCAGATGAGTCAGCGGAAGCAGTCCTGAAGGCCATGGCCCCTGCAGCTTGACTCGGCGGGGTAAGAGGTTTGCTGTGCTGGTGTCGACAGGGGTGCGTCGGGGCCCCAAATTCCAGGGAGTAGGCCCCCCCAAAAGACTGGGATCCCTCAGTATACTTTTCGGTATGCCCGTACGGGATATGAAGAGCTTTCGCAATCCAACGCGTGATCCTGAAACCAATTGACCATGTTTGTTTCCAGGAGGTACGGACAGGCAAACCGGGATGTGTCGCGGCGGAGCATGGTGCACGCCGCCTGCTGATTACAAATTCGCTGTGTAATGGCACCAGCCTGGCAGCTGGAAGGTATCGCATTCTTCGAGTGTTCGGCATGACCCTGGTGCGGAAAGGCGCTCCTCAGCGGCACCATGGCCATTCTCGGAAGCATGTACGAAAAGAGTGTGTTCATGTTAATTACCGCCTCCCTTGTGGGGAAAGGAAAGGTCCGGCCGTGCTTATACATCCTGATTGGCCCATATCACGAGGCGATTGAACTTGGCAGAGGCGGGTACGGAGTTACGTGCATGTCCCTATCGTTAACGGAAGAGTAATGCCATGCTGAATCACGCATCGTGGTATACGTTGTCCTCAGCGCTGAAGTCCCGTAACTGTACGCTTCTGCGTGCAGGTACTTGATCATAAGGATTCATAGGGAAGCCCGAGAGATTGTCGCGGACTACTAATCCAACGCCATTAAAGGGTTTGGCTGTGGACGATGGACGGGCGAGGTGATTGGCTGTCGGCCAGGTGACGCTGCGCACCTGCCACGGCGGACATTCCTATAGGGCGCAGGGCAAAGGAAATTTCTGTTTGAATATTGGAGGAGCCCTTGCAGGGCCGACCACAGCAGCAACAGGGCAGCGGCGCTGTAGATAATGGGCTGCATTTGCACGCGTTGCCCTGGATTTGCGTTTGGAGGTGATTGTTGTCCTTGCAACATGGTATATGCTTAGGTTTCAGAGCTTTACGGTCGGCTCCCAGTTTCAGGCCTGTTGGCGAAGTCTTTTTGATTAGCTATATTGTGTCATGCTTTCATGTAGGTTAACTACCTCATTTCACAGTTACCATGTCCTACTGTTTGTAGGACCGCGACTTCATTCGTGCGGAGTACGCATTAGTGACCGGGGCCGACTACGTGCAAGGTTAATCAACTTTTCGGGCAGCCATCGCACGTGTATGCGCCACGCAAGTTCCCGTTTCAATTATTTCAATTGTAATTCGCCGTTTTTAACCGTCTGCGTCGTCATTTGTGTGTCTCTCTGATGCCGAAGTCTGATGTGCCACAAACTCAGGAACGTTAAATTCTTTGAATTGAACGCACAATTTTTGGTTTGTACAAGACTATGGCACGGATTGCTTGGACTACGCCTTATACAGTTCCCAAACCAAGACAAAAGAAAAGAGCCGGTGCGGCAGTATTCATCCAAGATGGCCAATGAAGGGAAGACAGCCTTGACATGTACTTTTCGAATATGACGACAATGCCGACGTCGTAATGCGGTAAAGTACGTCGTGCCAACGTTGAGGAACATTCACGTCTGCAGTCTTCGCTACAAAGCGAAGTAACACCTTATAGGCTCCTCAGGTAAGTAATTTCCAGGTGCAAGGTAGCCTTTCCGCCATCCTGGCAGTTTTGAAAGACAACTGAACAACGGTACAACAGCTCACAAAATTTCGACGTTTTCAAGCGAAGGGTGCATAAAATTTTCTGATTGGATTGCATATTTCCGTGGCGCAATTGATTTCCAATCTGCCAGACAAGCTTCCGTCCCTTATGCCCACGGCCTGCCATCCAGTGGCCCCATAAAATGCAGCTGGACGCTGTACAGTTCCACACGCACTTCAGCTTTGCCTGGCCAGGTTAAATTCCTTAATTCGCATACCTCTTTGGGTCAAGGTACCAACTAGTTGGACCGGTCATGATGGGAACGAAGAGATGGAGCTGTAACGTTATCGTACACCGTTTGTATTGGATGGCGACAAGCGCAGCACCCACCCTTTACTCGTGGGCTAATGAACATCCTGGCTCGTCCGGGCCTTACGGGCTCTGAGGAGCTTGAAGCTTCCGTATGAAGTGGCCCGGATAGATAGTGCTTTTTCGACATAGGTTTTATTACTGAGAGTGATCTGTCAGTAACACCCCGCTACCCGGTCACTTCTCAGAAGTTTTCTAAAGTGGTATCTTTAAAAAGCACCAAACCCCTGACTTTTCAAATTGGAAGCGTACGCAAACTCGTTCACCAAGGTTAACTCGTCCAAGGTAGAGGAGCAAGGCGCGTGGAGAACGTCGAAGGTCACCTTGCTCGGCTGGCACAAAGCGCCACAGGCTCAGCGCGCAGCCATAAACTTGCTATCAGGCCTCCTTCGTAACCAAGGTCTACGGCGTTTTCGAGTTACTGCAGAACCCATCCACGCTAATACACATTCCAAGGACAGGGCGCGTCTTGTGCTCAATCGACCACCACTTGCTGGATATACATAAGACAATTGTTTAAAAGATATACACCATATGAATAGCTTCGACTGAGTTACTTTGGGGCGGCCTGATGCCTGGTGCCGCGGCCAAGCCTGTCTTACCTACCTTAAACCTTTCCAAGGTGCGTCTCAACAATTTAGGTTATTAACTAGTGAGCCTCAGTAACGGGTTAACGCTCTGAGATGTCTACCTCAAGGCCATGTCGCGTCACAGTGAGTAATTTTCTAGATTCCTGCGCTTCCGGTGTCAATTTAGGGCACCGGCACTATGCTTGGCATTATGCTCAACCTGATATGCCTTTATAAGGCTGGATTTGTGATGGAAAAGACTCCCGGTCAAAAGCAGAGGGTTTCACCTGGCTTGTGACCTTCGTCTGGTTGTTGTAATGCTATAATTTACACCACGGATGGAGTTATATTGTAATCCCTAGACTCTAAAACGCGCCTTCCTCACGGGCGCTTCGCAACTGGCTCTTCTGCTTCTTCTGCCCCATTTCTAGGTCAAACACGACGAACAGCCGGTCGGCCAGCAAAATGCGCCCCCACCTAGCGCACCACGCCTACATCGAAACGCTGGTGCTAGTGCTGGCCATGCGGGCGCATCAGCGGCAGGCGTACCGCAGCCACCCCCCACCGGCGGCAGTACCCACCGCTCCGGCGGCACCGCTAGCGGGCGATCCGGCGGCTTGTTGCAACCTCCGCTTCAAAACATGACCGGCGTTTCGGCCGCCGCAGGCGCCTCCTCAGGTGCACCGGGGCTGCTGCTCGCGCGGAGCAATAGCACCGAGCGCCACAGCAGCAGCAGCAGCAGCCACACCGCGAGAACCTACCGAGAGACTGCAGGCGCAGCAACGGCAGCTGCGCCGTCTGCCGCCACAGCAGGCGCCGGCACCGGCGCTTCCCATCCCTACCTCCGCCACCAAACATTCAACAGCTTGCAAAGCCCGCGCGCCGCCCCGGGAGGCGGCGGCCCCTGTGCTGGCACCGGTGCTGCTCCGTCATCCTCCTCCGGGTCAGCGACGGGACGGCCGTCGCATCTACCGTCGTTTGGCGGCAAACACCATCAGGGCGACGCCGCGTGGTACGGCCAACCGGAAGGGCAAACGACGCAATCGCTTCGGGCCTGCGTCACCTTCAACAACAACTCCTCTCTGCAACCTCAGATACAGGGACAGCACGGCGCCGCTGCTTCGGGTCAATCTGCGAGTCAGGGGGTGCAGGGGGTTCACTTGGGTCAGGCGGGGCCGGGGCATCGAGGTGGGTTTTTAGGGGCGCGGGGACAGGGCGCACAGTACGGCGTGTACGGAAGTGCATCCGCAGCGGCTTTAGGGACAAGTAACGCGCACGGCAGCGGCGGTCCTCTCCCGACGCCGCGCAGTCACCATCACACCCAACAACAACAACAGCAGCAGCAGACGACGGCGACGGCGACGACGACGACGCAATTACAGCATTTACAGCATCGGCCACAGTCGCAGCAGCAGATGCAGCAACAGCAACAACAGGCCCAGCAACAGCAACAAACGCAGCAGGCGCACAGCAAAGTCCTATCTCACGTGTCCGCGGCGGGTGACAATGCACCTTCATCTTCTCGGGCCGCATCTTTCCGAGCAGCCGCCGCCACGGGCACGGCTGCCGGCGCCGTCGGCGGCAGCGGCAGCGCCTCCACCGCCGCCCCCCCCGGCGCCAGCTCCGCCGCCACCACCACCACCGCCGCCGCAGCCGCCCGTACCGGCGGGGAGCCCAGCGCGTGGAGCAGTACGGTCTCGTCCAATTCCAGCTCCACTTGCAGCACCAGCAGTACGGCAACCGCCACGTCAGCTGCAACGTCTGCCTCCACAGCCACGAGCGCATCTACCACAACATCGGCTGCGACCGTTACCTGGGAGTCCGGATACATCACGCCCGCTCAGGCATTAAGTAGGTACTCGGAGTACATGACGCCGTACGAGCACAGCGAGGTGCTGGAGTACCCACAGGTAAGCGGGTTTCGGAGCCCCGCGAATCACTCACCTAAAAATTTCTGATCAGACGTGAGCGGCATACGGGCCCCCGCTTAAGCTGCCATCTGGGTCGGCGGATGTTCGAATCTCTGTTGGCATCTCTGTTGGGAAGGAAAGGAAAATTTGCGCTGCGGATTTGGGTTTTCGGGATTCGGCCCCGATCTGGGTCGGGCTCATTCAAATATTTAAACTCAAACCGCCTTGGCTGTATTTGTATTATTTGTGTTTGGGGAGGTACAAACCGGCGGTTTTTGAGCTCTGCCTTGGTTTGAATTTAGGTTTGAATTAAGGTTTGAATTGAAGATCCGGGCCCCAAGATCCGGATCTGGGTCGGCTGATCTGGGCCAAGGCGACCTCGATTTGGGTCACAGCTGTGTTCGTGATGGGACCGTCACGCGCGGGTCGGCTGGGGCGCTCTTCGCGTATGCGTCAGCAGCAGGAGGACCCCGATTTGGGTCGGCTTCTCTCTTAGAGGAGAAGAAGACCATGGCGAGCCTCCCGCGAGTCTGTTTTTGTGGGAAACTTCTTGACCTCTGCCGATGGTAGTACTCTCGTACAACCCAGCCATCAAATCTTGAAAAACCCGAAAAGTCTGAAACCCCCGCATCGCTGAACCCCAACACCAACTTCCCCCCGGCAACAAACCCCCAGCTCCAACCCAACGATGATGATTAGGCCGTCTGCAGTTGCGTCTGCTTTGCTTCTTACGTATGATTCCCTGATGTACGGTGTCGTACATGTCCTGTATTATAATTTCCTCTTTTGCTTGCCGCTAGGTCTATTTCGTGGGTCGTTCGTCGGCTCAGAAGGTGTCCGGCAACCCCCACAGCAGCCGCAACAACTTTGGGTACGACGATGACCGCGGTGACTATAATGTCGTACTGCACGACCATTTGACGTACCGGTTTGAGGTGCTGTCCGTCATGGGCCGCGGCTCCTTTGGCCAGGTGCGTGGCGCGAAGAGAAGAGAATCCTTTATGTACGTATGTACAGACATACATACCCCTTTATGTATGTACGTATGTACATACATACATATTGCCCCCGGGAGATCCCGGGATTGATACCCATTAGGGACAAAGTCCTTCCGATGGTGGAAGGCATTGCGCCCCTAGTTGATGGACGGTGGTCACCTGGGATAAAGTTAACCTGCGAGCCGACCAGGAACGGAGTTGGGCCGCTGTCGACCCCGGCAGATTCCGTTGGATGCTGGTGGTGGGTGCGGAACCTGAGCGATCCACTGAGAAGTTGACTAGGGTGACTGGATGAGGGTGCCCCGAAATACCGGGGAAGGCAGGGTTTCGCAGGGTAGCTGCCACGGGCGAAGATACAACCCACTGTTTCACACATCATACATACATACACGCATGCAAGGTTTTGAGAAACCGCGATGGTATCTTGGATGAATGCACCGCGGCTGCTAGCAGCTAAAATAGCGAGGGGGAGGCCATGAAGAAACAAACCTAGGAGGTATCCGGCGGGGCAGCTCCCGGGGTTGGGAGAATTACCATCACTACTTGTCTTTTGATCAACAAAGTCCTAAACCTGAATTCGACCATAATCATAAGCTCGGATTGGTGAATGGAGCCGTGGCATCCTTTTCGACGCAACGTATCACTCCTATATCACTCCTATATCACTCCTATATCACTCCTATATCACTCCTATATCACTCCTATATCACTCCTATATCACTCCTATATCACTCCTATATCACTCCTATATCACTCCTATCCTCCTTGTCTTGCAGTACATCAGCAGCTGTAGCAGTCGCAGTCGCAGTAGCAGTAAGGCGGCCCGTTGGCTGAATTATGAATGTTTCCGGCTTCCTGAGCTGAACCCCGGTTGCTGTACTCTTGTTGTACATGGTCGTACAGGTGGTTAAGGTGCACGACTTCAAGACCAACAGTATGCGGGCAATAAAGGTGTGGAGGGCGCTCAGAAGGGCAAGTTCGGTTCGTGTAGATGTACTTTAGTCGTACATGTACATGGGCCTCAATTGAGAGCAGAAATGCGACGTTATTCATTCAAAAACCTCCTTCCAGACTTTTGTCACCGATCTCCGCTGTTTGTATGTTTGTGTTATACGTTCTGGAGTTGCGTTATTCTCTTTTTTTAGAAAGGTTTATATCGTTCATTGACCTTGAGACACGTCTCACTTCAGTACGACATGCGGTACTCGTTCTCGATGGTCCCAACCCGGGCTTTTGCCCGGCCCCTCCATACTTCCCCCTTCTCCTCCCTCCCTTGCTCGCTCAGATCATTCGCAACAAGAAGCGCTTCCACCAGCAAGCTCTCGTTGAGCTGCGGGTGCTGCAAAACATCCGGGACTCGGACCCGGAGGACTCACATAACTGCGTGCACATAGGGGTAGGTGTGGGTGTGGGAATGGGGGGGAAGGAATGGGGGAGGGGAGTGGGGGGAAAATGGGTGTGGGGGGGAAATGGGAGTGGGCGGTGGAGGGGAGTGGATGTGAGCGGGTGGCGCACGTAGGCAGAGGCGTTGCTGAGCGGTTGGATGGACACGAACCTGTTTGCGCGTGTTGGTGACGGAGGCCCATGGGGGGCTGTAGGGGTTCGACCATGGGGGTCGCTAGGGGGGTTCTTTAGGTTTCCAAAGTCTCCATTTCTCTTATTAACCGGGTTGTTGCAATATTCCTCTTCCTCCTCCTGCTTCTCCTGCTTCTCCTGCTTCTCCGCTAAAGCCCTCCACCCGGCAAAACTCGGCGCAGGAACATTTCTACTTCCGCAACCACCTGTGCATCAACTTTGAGCTGCTGTCAATCAACCTGTACGACTTCATCAAGCAGAACAACTTCATGGGGCTCAACCTGGGCCTTATCCGCCGCTTCGCCCATCAGATCCTGGTATCGCTGCGGTACATGAAGGTACGACATGCACGTCGTCTGTGATCGAGGGCCCGATGAAGGGCGCATGTCGTAATTCTTTGTTTTGGTAGATAAAATCTGGTGCGAATGGCTGTGTACGGCACCTAAAAAAGAGAGGATTACCAGCACAAGAAACAACAACACAAAACCTCGGCCCTTTCAAATTGACACCGTTACAATTGCCACCAAGCTCCGCCAACCGCCAACCGCTAACCGCCTTCTGGCCTCTACTTACGTCATGACCCTGCCCCTGTTCCCCCCACTTACACTTCGTGGTTCGTCTTTCCCCCACTTACCCCTTGCCTATGTTCCGTACATTCATGCACATTCTCACAGCAATTGCGGCTCATTCACTGCGACTTGAAGCCGGAAAACATTCTGTTACGGCAACCCAACCGCTCCGCCATTAAAGTCATCGACTTTGGCTCGTCCTGCTACGTGGACGAGCGAATCTACACGTACATCCAGGTACGGCAGTACGGTGATCGGCATCACACCAGCTCCGGAACCGGTACCCATCCTGCATATGTGCGCATGAGTCAAAGCCAAAAAATGTGAGGTAGCGAAAAAAACCTAATTGCAATTGTGACGAGGAGAAAAACGATGGCAAACGGTTTATATCTAACACCAGCACTAACGCAACGTAACACAGCTCAATGGCGACCAAAACCCCCACCCCGGCAGAGTACTCTTGCTTCAGGCCCTGCCATCGCCACCTCTCTCTCTCTCACATACACACACACACACACACACTTCTAACCGCCTCCCCTCCCCTCACCCTCTCCAACCCGCCCTCCTGCAATGCTGCCCCCGGTGTGACAGAGCCGGTTCTACCGCTCCCCCGAGGTCATTCTCGGGGCGCCGTACGGTACGGAAATCGACATGTGGAGCCTGGGTTGCATCCTGGCGGAGCTGTACACGGGCTACCCCCTCTTCCCGGGTCAGTCTGGCGGGATGGACAGATAGACATACAGACAGAGATACGCATATATACATATATACATACATATACACACATAATCTGTGCATGTATATACATATCAGTATTCATGCTTGCATGGCTAGGGTTTTGAAATGCAAAGTGTAGATACAGTATCCACTTTAGGCCTGCGTCTCTTAGGGCGATGATGTTGCCATTCTCATCCTCCTCGACCTCCTCCTCCTCCTCCCCCAGCCGATGCCTACCCCTCCCTCCATTCCCTCCCCTCCATTCCCCCCCCTCCCCCCCCTCCCTCCCCTCCCTCTTCTCTTGCAGGTGAGGACGAGATGGAGCAGCTGGCTTGCATCATGGAGATCTGGGGCCCCCCACCTAAGGAGCTGCTGGAGGCGGCCTCGCGCAGGAAGCTGTTCTTCGACTCGGCGGGCAACCCGCGCCTGCAACCCAACAGCCAGGGCCGTACGCGGATGCCGGGGAGCAAAACACTGCAGGTGCAGGTGGCGGAGAGGGAGGCGGGGGAGGGAGGCGGGGAAAGAGGGGGGAAAGAGGTGCGGGGGGGGGGGGAGGTAGTCCGCTGAGAGGAGGATTTCAAGGAGGAGCTGAAGTGGGTGTTGGTAGAGAGACGTGGCTTGTGTATGTGTATGTATGTATGTATGTGTATGTATGTGTGCATGTGTGGAAGGGGGGGGAATCTTGGTGGGAGGTTGCGAGAGGCAGCGGATGACCTCTTGCTTGCTTGTCAACATGTCAAAAAGGACGCAGCGGCAGGGGGGGTGGGGTTGGGCAGTGGGGGCCTGGGAAGAGGCCTGAGCGGCGGGGCTCTCCTAAACACACGGTCCGTGCTCCCTTGCAACGGAATCCTCTCTCCCACCAACCACTAACTACCAACCGCCTAACCGCTCAACCCACTCGCAGGCGGTTCTCAAGTGTAGCGACCCGGGCTTTCTGGACCTCATGGAGAAGCTGCTACGCTGGGATCCCGCAACTCGCATTACTCCGGAGCAGGCGCTGCAGCACGTCTGGATTATGGATCAGAACCCTTCCCCCACATCAAGCCGCGGAGGGGCGGCAGCAGCAGCGGCGGCAGGCGGCGGCGGCGGCCACCACGCACAGGCTGCTGGGAGTGCCGCGGCGGCAGCTCGAGCTGCCGCCGCCGCGGCCGCCGCCGCCGTCGCCGGCGAGAAACCGCCACAGCTGCCGCCACAGCTGCCGCCGCAGCAGCAAGTTGTGACGGGCGGAACCGGTGCTCTAACGGGAGCTGTAGTTGCGGCGACGGCGCAAAAACAGCAGCAAGGTCAGCAGCCGACGGCGACGGCGGCGGGCTTGAAGGCGGAAAGCGGCGGCGGTGGCGGTTTCGCGCCATCAAGGTACGACCCTATCGGCGCTGCAGCAGCAGCGGCCGCTGCCGTCGCGGCGGCCACCGCGGCGTCTGCGGCCGCGGCGGCGGCGTCCGCCGGCGTGACGATGCCGCGAGTGCCCATGACCGATAGCGCTATGGGCCACCATGCGGTGTGCGCCGTGGGGGGGTTTCGGAGCCCGAAAGGAGCCCGCGGAAGCGGTACAGACGACGGTGCCGTCGTTACAGGGGGTGCAGAAACCCCGCCGTCGCGCGGCAGCTGGGCGCCGGGTGTCTCTGCCGCCGCCAGCGGCAGCGGCAGCGGCGTAGGTAACGGCAGTGGCGGGCTTTCAACGTCAGGGCGTTCCCATGTCGTACCGGTGGGCGAGACGCAAGTGCCGGGGCTTGGATCCACACTACTGACGTCAGAGCCGCCGCCACCGCCGCCGATGGCGGGGGGCGTGGTAGTCCCAAACCTGGATTTCGCCGCGCTTCGGGCGTCTACGGGCCACGGTACGGCAGACGATGGGCCGCTGCCGTCGGCAACGGCGGCGGCGTTGATGACGCCGCGTGGACAGCAGCTACAGCCCTCGCACCACCACTTCCAACATCAGCCTCACCCCCCAGCGCTACCTTTCCGATCCGACGGAGCGGCATTGCAGCCGACACCGATTTCCGTGAACTCACCGCGAAATGCCGGTGGTGGTGGTGGCGGCGGCGCCGGCGCCGGACCGCACATCCCGCGCGGCGGCGGCGGCGGCGGCGGCGCCAACGGCAGCGGCACTGCAGTCAGGCCGTCCTTGCCGGTTCCGGTGACTGGCGCGGCGGCGGCACCGTCGTCTGCTGGGAGCCATGGGTACGGCAGCCCTACCTTTGGCGGCGGCAGCGCCGCAGTGCAACGCCTAGCATCGTACGCCGCCGCGCCACCGCCCTCATCTTCGTCGTCAGCAGCTGCGGTGGCGGCGGTGGCGGCGGCGGCGGCGGGAGCTTCCGTCGTTGAGTCTCATGCAGCGTCGTCGCACTCCGTCAGCCACTCACGCACCCACTCAAGACGTAGTTTCGGAACGCTGCCTGGGAGCTTGCTGGCGGCAGCTGCAGGCGGAGGTGTCCCGGGTGGTGGGGCGGCAGGTTGCGGTTCCGGAGCTGCGGCGCCGTCAGGTGGTGTTTTTCCGCCGGAGCCGGGGCAAAGCAGCGGCAATGCCGGCGGGCAGCAATTTGGCGGAGCAGTAGCAGCTGTAGCCGGCCCTGGCGGCGGCGGCGGCGGCGGCGGCAGTAGCGGATATTTGCCCACGTTGACGACACCTCGTCGTTAACATCACCATCGTCATCACCATATCATTATCATCACCATCATCATCATCATCATCGTCGTCATCATCATCGTCATCGTCATCATCATCATCATCGTCATCATCATCATCACCCGCACTGCCCCTTTTTTGCTGTTGCGCTGTGTTGCTCGGCGCTCGTCCCCAACATGACGTTGCTGTTGTTCGTTGCTTCAGTTGCTTTGATAAGACGTTGTGGGCGTTGTGGTGGGCCTTTTTCGGATCCAGCAGCTCTGGCTTTCGGAAGACAGAATTCGAGCTAAATCAGATGTCTATGCCGTACATGTCGTGTATATCGTGTATTCATTGTCGTACAAAATACAATATCGCGCACACGACGCACATGAAGTGCACATGAGGTCTTTTATTCTTTGCATGCGCACTCCTTGCATGTGAGCGCAAGCACGAGCCGGTTTTCAGTCCATGGAGGCCCCGGCGGTGCGGTACGGTACGGATGTGAAGATGTGAGGGCTTCGGTTAGTAATAATAGCGCTCCAAGGGGGGGGGGCTTAAAATAGCGCGCTGAAAGGCAATCGAAAATTAGGTCAAAGGACAAAGCGACGCGACGGTGGGGTTGTGGGGAGCATGAAGACAAGGTTTCCTGTGCCACGGGTGGTGGTTGTTGTCGTTGTGGTTGTGGTGGTTGTGGTGGTGTTACCTTCTTTGAGGAGGAGGAGGAGGAAGGAGGTGGGGACAGCTGAAGAGGAGAAGAGAAATGCGGGCAAGACAACTTTGCTTTTGAGAGGCTTTGGCACACGTAACATGCAAATACACATTAAGACCGAAAAGGGGGTTGCGGTAGGTAGGGATGGATGTGGGCGTGTGTTGTCTGTGTGCTGTACGGAGGACGTGGCAGGACAGAGGCCTAGGGCGAGTGGGCGATGGGGGGTTTCACACCACGCAGGGGCTTTTTCCACTCTTTTCAAAATCACCGATGGGTTCATTGCTTAAAGAGAAAAGGGCACGAGCGAGATGGCTCGTCCCGCAATTAGGACTGTCATGTACTGCACATTTGTCACACATGTACGGGACAGCTTTTTTCTTGTGCAGGCTGTGCAATAGCTGCATTGCAGGAGCTGAGTTGAGTTGAGTTTTGAGTGTTGCATGCAGGATGATGATGATGCGGATCCGCCGCCCCTGGCTGTTGTGCGTTTCACGGGACCCCCCCCCCCGGCTCTACTGGTAACCAATCTGGGGCGTGCGGCTGACGACGAAAAAAGAACTGTTTACCTTGCGCATAATGGGTCAATTGTTTCTCCCTTCCTGCTTTTTTTCAATTGCCAACTAGCCAATTGACTAGCCGGCCAGCCAGCCATGGCTTAGCTGGTACCGTTTGCTTGCTTGCTGCCATCGAAGCCCTGAAAATGCGGTAGATGTAGATAATGTATGTGCATGTCTGTGTGTATGTGTTGCGGGAGGTGTTGAGCACGTCGCAAACGGGAAAAATTTGCGCACTCATGCCATCATGCATTTCCGCATCTCCCTCACCCTAAACCATGACACAGTAGCGCGGACAGCGCCATGCGATCGTACATGCCGTGCACGTCAGGATCCCTGTCGTACAAGCCGTACACCGGAGTTCCAGCGCGGGATGATAGTAGTTCTTCTAGGAGCCCATTGTTGCGGCCGCGAGTATTTGTCCCGCCCGACAGCGGGTCGAACCTTTTTGCTTTCGTTCAATGCATGTACGCACATTTTTTTTAAGTAACGCACAACAGTAATGAGTTAACAGCGTTATGTAGGCGTTTTTTAAGAGACCTGACGGCAGGAAGAAGTCGGTTAGGCCGGTTAGGGTTTATGGACGAGGCAGGCAGGAGTCAGTCGGCCCGCATCGTGCGGCGGTTAATTCGGTTATTAATCATTGGCATCCTTACGAAAGTCCTGACCATAACCATAACCATAACCATAACCATAACCCGGGGCATGAGCGCATGAGCGGACCAGCAAGGGGGGCCCCTCGGCTGAGTGGGGGGCCGGTTTAGAGCTTTTACACTTTCTGGGAGCTGCCGACCTGCGAGCAACCTTCTGCAGGCGTCGCACCCGCGTAGCCGTGGTGGGGGTGTAGGCACCTGAAGAGACTAAAGGAAAACGAGAAGCGAAAGCTTAACGAGTGCTGTGGGGGTGAAATCAATGTGGTTGGTATCTGCGGTGCTGTGCACTGTGTGTGTGTATGTGTGTGTGTGTGCGCGTGTGTGCGCGCGTGTGTGTGTGTGTGTGTGTGTGTGTGTGCGTGTGTGTGCGCGTGTGTGTGTGTGTGTGTGTGTGTTTATCCGTCTGTTGACACTGTCAGCCTGTTATTTCCGTCCATCGTCGTGTCTTTACGTCGTGTCTTGTGTCTTTTGGGGATGTTGACCTGAGACGCAATCTTGTTGCTGGGCTTGCTGTGTCTCCCGCACTTCCGGCTGTAGATGGCCGTGCATAGTGTTGTTCGGCTGGGTGAGTGTGCGACTTTTTAAACCCATGGGTCTGCGTTAATACCGATTGCTTTTACTTAGGGTTTGGGCCGACTGCACTGACACTATTGCCTTTGGCGGTAATATCATTCGCCAGTTAGATCGCTACTGATTGTCCCGTCCACAACCCTACCAGTACAGCGCTGTGTGTTTTTCCGTACTCGTCTGTAACGGCCACAAGATGCAGCATGTTCTGATGCCTTCGGGTAGCGCTCAATGTGCCGGCGATGTGCCGGCGGTGCAGCTGCATATCAGGAGGCCCGCAGATCAGAGCTCTGCGGAGGTTCAGCCTCGGCAGTCTTCATTCCATGCTGCACACGACGCTTTTGGTACGGAGGGCACGAGGGCGCTACGATGCGTAAGGGTTGACACGTAATATGGCGACGTATATGACTTGACGTATATGAAGGCAGGAAGGCCACCGGTCGCTTTATATTGTTGCTTCTTCGAGGCCTCCGCTCCCCGCTTGTGCATTTATAACCTCTTTATGGGTAGCTGCTGGGTATCAGACTGCACCAACGCAGATTCGCAGGAGCTCTTGGTACTCGGCTCCCAACCTGAAGTTGTTACCTTCAAAAAATCACGCAACATTCGTACCAGCTATTTGCTGTTCGGCCGGGGGGCTGAAAGCCCCATGAAATGGCACACATCATCCCGCCGTGGGAGGTGATGTTGCCTAGCGTGTGTTGCGGCTGGCAGGTGGCCGGTAGGTGGTGGTGTGGTGGGGGAATGGAGTATAAAGGGGTTGTGGACGGCCGTCGGGAGCTCCGGGAGTTTCGGACCTGCAGCCATGACACTGTCGCTGTTGTAAAGAAATATTTATATGTATGTTGTTACAGGGTGGTTAACTTCGCCAGCGACCCCCTTTCCCGGGGCAGTCCCTGCTCTCCCTTGCTAGAGGGGCACCTTAATCCGTCACCCCATCCGACTACAGAATGTATTCGTTGGGTTCGGCAACTTACCACCAGCATCCAACCAAATCTAGCGGATCAACGGCGCAAGTTCCTGGTCAGTTGTCAAGTTAATTTTGGCACGTCCTACATCGTCCATATAATGGGGGGCAACCTCCCATTTCATCACTCCTCAAACACCCGAGGAGCCGGCAGGCGGATTTGAACCCGGGTCGGCCGGGAGCAGAAGTCGGGCCTTAACCTCTGCCAGCCGCCTGCACATATATCTCCCGCCGTGAAAAAAGGACGGCGCCAGCTGGCCGATGGGCCTTACTTGCCCCAATCGCACACTCAGCTTAATCAGTAGAATGGGTTGAACTCTTGGATTGATTGACTGGTTGGGTGGTATTTGGCAATGATGTGGGGTGCTGCGGGTACCTCCGAAGCTGATCAAGAGTGAGCGCGGCGCCTCAGAAACCCCCACTTGCTGCGGGAATACATACAATATGCACCCTCCTCTAATCGCCTGTAGAGTGAATGCCGCTATAGCCAAAGCAGCGACTCCCTCTTGCTGCAACATCTCTGGTAGATAGGACACAGCAGAGCTCAACGAGACATGGCGGGGCTTTTGACGCCATGGTTACAAGTGCCTTACTACCCCTCATCAACCCCCCATATAGCGACACTCCCGGCTAGGTTTCAGGCATAAGGCTGAGGCCTGGCACGATGGCGAGGATATGCACACACTAACAGGTGGAGGGGCACATACATACGTATACACAGACACACATACACCCACCCATGGGTCACATACGGATTCACGAACGCTCATACACACACAGACAGACACACAGACAGACACACAGACAGACACACAGACAGACACACACAGACAGACACACACACAGACAGACACACAGACAGACAGACAGACACATGTAAGCCGCACCGATGCACGACAACAGCACGCACTGGGAAGTAGGTATCCTCCCAGACGCTGCTGGCAGAACACGGATTGTTACATTGCTGTATATGTGCCCTCAATTACTGAAGGCCCCTCTCGCTGTTTTGCTGACAGCGGTCAGGTAGGTCCCGTGCTGCGAGCCGGCTCGCTCACGCCGGGCGGGGCGGGGCGGCATTAGGGGATATTATTGGAAACCGACACCGTCTTGTGCACCGGGCGCTTTGCGCACTTTTAAGTGTGATGCGCTGTGCACTGTGCATGAATGTATGTATGTTGTTACAGGGTGGTTAACTTCGCCAGCGGCCCCCTTTCCCGAGGCAGTCCCTGCTCTCCCCTGTTAGAGGGGCACCCGAATCCGTTCACCCCATCCGATTTCAGAATGTATTCGATGGGTTCAGCAACTCACCACCAGCATCCAACCAAATCTAGCGGATCAACGGCGCATCAACTTAGTTCCTGGTCAGCTCGCAAGTTGATGTTATCACGTCCTACACCGTCCATATAATGGGGGGGCACCTCCCATTTCATCACTCCTCCAACACCCGAGGAGCCGGCAGGCGAATTTGTACCCGGGTCGGCCGGGAGCAGAAGCCAGGCCTTAACCTCTGCCAGCCACCTGCCTATAAATGTATAGATGTATGTATTATACACATAAGTACATAGGTGTACGTACCCGCGCTCCTTACTACCATAATAGTATCATATAATATATATTTTTACTATTTAGGAAATGTATGCAACAAACCTCCCGGTGGATTATGCGACTACTACAAAGCAAGAGGAACGGTAACCTAACCTACTGACAGAGCTAGTAAGTAATAAGGAGTGCTGGCCCCCCCCCAAGCAAAAAGTGCTTGTTGTCCCCCGTGGCCGCAGTGCAATCGTCCCGACCTGACAAGGAAGGGAGGAGGCGCGGTGCCGCCGGGGATGAGCTCACGAGCATAAATGAACTCACACGCAAAATACCACAATGCTGCGACTGCCGCAGGGCACCACCATCCCCCTCAACATCACCGCCACACGGTCACCACGTAATCACAACACCAAGGTAAGGAGCCACTCATATGTATGACATTCTAATGTGGGCTATGCTGCGTCAGCTGCACGACAGCGATCCGGCATCTACAAACCACCATTACCACCAGTGCTGCTGCCTGTCACTGTACCATTGTAAAAGAAATTATTGCTCTTCATCAATCGACCCCGGGGACCACCACCGCCACCGCCGCATCTCCAAGGCTATATTACTGCCGTCCACATCAAACATCATCAACCACCACCTCTGTCTTCATACACGCACCCCCCCATCATCAGCGCCACCACCGTTTGGCCACTACGAACCATTCTTCTTCACGCCTCAGTTACGAATATAATATACCCACCATCATTACCTCGAAGCAGCAGCAGCAGCAACAGCAGTTAGGGCCTCAAACTAGGGCTAGTTACTTCCTTTCGCCACCACCGCCACAACAACACTGCTGTCGCACCCCACCTGCGATGCCATTGTTGCACCGCCGCCATCACCGCACAGCATAGCGCTATCGAGCGGCTCTGGTTGCCCTCCCTCTCTTCAACATTTCGCGCACCTCACGGTGTGTGCCCCTTCCAAGACCCCTCCGTCCCGACCTACTCCTCGAAGCGCTCCTGCTTATGTACTTCTTAAAAGCGACGCCTTCCAGCACTCCCAACGTAACACATGTACTACGATACTTCCTTCCAAACCACACTTACATAAGCACCCGAGCTATACCTGCGCTGCAGTATTTCAAATGGGAATTTCTGACGTGTTCAAGAAAAATACACCAGCACCAGCACCAGCGCCAGCGCCAGCGCCACATCCCCAAAGGGGGAGAGAGCTGCGTGTGGGCGGTGGGCGAACAGGCCCGACGCAAATGAAAGCATATACCATATTGCATACATACATACATACACATGTGTAAATACACACATATAGATAGATGGATGTATATATTCCCTTTCTCGGGGGTTAGGTTCCAGTTCTCTCTTAGCACCTCGCCCAAGTGATGAGCGAGGCAGGTACACCGCGAACGAAAGACAACAAGAGGGGTGCTTTCCCCCCCCCCGGGGAAGGGGGGTTGGAGATTGACGAGTTAGTTCGCACTTAGGCTTATTCCGTTTCATGCTGAGTAACCCAACATCGATTTGGGCGCCCGGCCTCACTACAAATGTAAACACGAACGGGTGAGGTAAAAAGACGTTTCGTGTTACCTTCCCTTACCTCCTTTACCTCCTTTACCTACAAAAGGTGCCCCACCAACTAGCGCAATAGCACCAGGGTGTCGTAGCTGCCGTACAGTACGGCATACATACCGTCGATGAATACGCGCTAGTAAGGCGCTGCCCGCCAGCAGCATCTACAGCGGCCTTTTCAGCGGCCAGCTACTACAGCGGGGGCCGCAGGGCCCCCCCCCCCACACACACACACACAGCCTCCATTCCTCCATTCCCCCAGTCAGTCAGCTGACAGACATACATACAAGCGGCGCGAAACGATGAGCAAAGGCGGCGCCAGCGGTGACCAAAGCTGCAGTGTAAGGGCGGGGCAGCAGCGGCAGCGGCAGCGGCAGCAGCGCCATCATCGCCCCCATCCTCCGCCACCACCTATCGCTGCTAGATAGATGATCCGTCGCCACCGCAGCAAACAAGATGGAGCATATTTCCTCATTAAGACGAAGGCAACCGGATCGGCGCCCGACCCGTGGCCAGTCCCATCCCAGTCCGACCAGTCCCACCGCAGGCCCCTCCACCCGGCGCAGCAGGTCGACATCCCTCCCCCCCACTTTGGACCTCTCCGCCCCCCACACGACGGGGTCAAGTACTCCGCTACTACGGATAGGTTTGGTAGAGTTTGCTTCCTCCTCCTCCCCCCCTCGTCCTCCTCCTCTCCTCCTCCCCCCCGACTCCTTCCTGCCATGCCCCCTCCATCTTCCCCAAATGCAGCTAAGCGAATTGGAGCAACTGCTATTCTTTGGCAAAAAAGCTTCTATTCAAGCAATCAAATCTTCTCTTCCTCCCACCGCCCAAACCCTTGTAGTGGTAGTAGTATGGCGGACTTAGCGATAATCTCTCAAACCATGCGTATTTACTTCATAATCATAATTGCGAGATCCAGCATGCTTTCCGGCCGGTCAGGACCACACTCCATTTCTAACAACTGGATGGCTCCCGCCATCACCATCACCATCACCATCACCATCACCATCACCATCAAATCCTGAATGTGAACTGTGCAAACGCCCGAGTGGGGCCCCAACCGAGTGCCCCCAGCAGTGCAGGCAGTGCAGGTCCGGCGTGTAAGAAACGAAACCCAGAAGAGCGTGCGGGTGAGGGGGGGAATGGGTTCCGTAGAAAGGCCGCTGTCGTACTTGCGGGACGCTGGCGGACGATATGCTCCTGAAGACATTTTAGATACGACTCCCACACGCCGTTACGACGCTGCAACTCATTACACTAATAGCTCTGGTGGCGGTTGCGGCGGTTGTGGCGGTTGCGGCGGTTGCGGCGGTTGCGGCGGTGGTGGTGGCGGTGGCGGTTATGGTGGTGGTGGTGATGGCATTGGGGTTCTTGTGGTAAGCGAGAAGGAGCTCAGGGTGCCCAGGAGCATCGCGGCTCGGCGGCGGCGACCTCGCTGCCTCTGGGCTGCAGCTGAGTGGGGCGACCAAATGAACTGGGCGGTGGCGGCGGAGGAGGAGGTGCCGGTGGGGGGGGGGGCCCGGGCCGGGCCGCCAATAAGGGGTGGGAGAGGTAGCCAGGATAGGGACCAGGAGGGGGAGCGGAAGGGGATTAATTGAGAAAGCGCTCCTTCATCCGGAGGACATCACATCCGGGGCGGATTCCGACACCCATGTGTGTGGGGGGGGTTTACCCCCCATGGCGGAGGGGCGAAATGGATAGCCGCAACACCGGCACACGGAGGCACACGCATACACCTCCTCTCATTTTCCCTCCTCCTTCTCCTCCTTCTCCTCCTCCTCCTCCTCCTAATCCTCCTCCTAACCCTCCTAACCCTCCTGCCATACCTTCCTCCTACCTCCCCCCCTTCCTTCCCTCTCTCTCTCCCTCTCTCTGTCTCCCTCTCTTACCGTTTCCATCCTTCCCTTCCCCTTGACCTCCACCCCCCCGGTGGGCGCCCACAGCTCCTCGTCCTCCTCGGGTGCCAGCAGCCGCCGAGTGGCACACGACACGTGGATGGCACCGGGGCGGCCAGTGCTCTCCTGGAGGGGAGGGGAAAGGGAACGAGCGCAGGAGGGGGGGCGGAAGGGGGGAGTGGGCGGGGAGAGAGCGAGGGAGGGAGGGAGGGAGGGGCAGAGGAAGGGGGGGAGAAAAGCGCGGAGGGAACGTTTAAAGACACGAGATGGGGAAGGAAGGCAGCCCACCATCGCCCCGGCTCAGCCAGGTCACGACCGCATTTGCCCCCCACCCCCTATTACCTACTTACCCCACACCCCGGCTTCGGATTTAGCCTCACTCACTCCCACTTCCCTCCGCCCCTCCACCACGATGTTGCCAATCCCACCCCGCAACACCCGACCCCACACATGCCCGTCTCTGCCACCCTGCTCCTGCCATCCCGCCCAGCCACTCACCATTCGGCTGGCGGTGTTGATGGTATCACCTGTACGTATGTACGTACCGGGGCGGTTGGGGTGGTTGGGGTGGTTAGGGTGGTTGGTGTGGCGGTTGGGGGAGATGGCGGAACGGCGACAAGGGCGCCCACCCCCTCCCCTCCCACCCCCTCCCAACCCGACACCTCCCTAAACAATAAAGTTATAACGCAGGTCGTCCTCCCTCCTTCCCCCCTGTGGCCCCCTTTCGCCCCCTCCTCCTCCTCCCTCCTCTAACTCCCCACCCCCAACCCCAACCCCACGGGGCCCACCCCCTCCTGCTCACCAAACAGACAGAACCGCGGCATCTTGGCTCCAACCACTCCGCTGGTGGCCGGACCGCTGTGGATACCGATACGCAGCTGAAGTAAACACACACACATACATACACACACACATACACACACGCGGGGGGGGGGGAAGAGAGAACTGGCATGTGCTTTTGGAAACATGCACCAACATCCTCGAAATGGATCGACAATAATCCGCCGGGCATAGCCCCTCTTGCCGATACATATGTGATATGATATGACATGTCGTACTGTACCGTACCGTGCCGTACCTGCACCTGCTCGCCCGTGTTTGGCATGGTGACCTTGGCCGCCTCCTCCAGCATGGCCCTTGCGAACATGACCACCCGCATGGCGTGCAGCGGGTCCGTGTCCACCTGGCCCCGAACAGCCTGGCCGTACCCGTAA